CGAAGTTATACGACAAGCTGGTCTTCACCGCCGCGGGGGCGGAGCTGGGCCGGCGCGAGGGCGGCGGCAAGGCTCTGGGCCCTGCCGACTTCGGCGCTGCGCTGGAGGCGGGCGCGGCCGCCGCCAGCAAGTACGGCGGCGCCGAGGAGGGCGACCGCACCATGCTCTGCGCGCTGTGGCCCGCCGCGCGCGCGCTGCAGGCCGGCGCCGCGAGCCCGGCCGAGGCGGTCGCCGAGGCGGCCGCCGCCGCACGGCGCGCGGCCGACGCCACCGCCGCCGTCGAGCACGCGGGGGCGGGGCGCAGCGCCTACGTCCGCGGCGAGCTGCTCAAGGGCGTGGCTGACCCGGGCACCGTGGGCGTGGCGCGCTGGCTGGAGGCCCTGGTCCCGGTGCTGGGCGGCAAGTGAGCGGATGGCGGGGTGTGGTGCCGATGAGCGGCCGGCGGTGTGGCGGAGCGGGGCGACTGGCGCGTGCACATGCTGCAGCGGACTCCTCTGCACGCAGCGACGCGGACGACCGGCCGACCACCCTGAACGCGCCTGCCACTCATGCATAAAGTTTTGGACGGAATTTTCATCGCGTGACCAATGACCCCCCGGGCTGGCCCTTCAGCCCGAACTGAGATTTTGATGATGGGATATATAATGCCCTGTTTTGCCCCATGATCTGTGAACATCAAAGGAGTATGGCAAGCGAGCAGTGGAGGGAAGGGCTGGCAAGGCACTGCTACCCACCCCCCACTTGTTGGGAGGGTCGAAGCTAACAACGTCGTTCTTGGACAGTATCCCAGCGATCGCATCGGTCTCCGGGGGGGTGGCAGACCTCCCTTGCTCATCTCCAACCTAAAACAACGCGTTCAAGCGAGTCAGAAACTGGATTCGTAGAGCAATCTGGCCAGGCGCAGCTTCACCCCCTCCGCTGGGGAAGCCGCGCCCTCCGAGATTGCCCCGGGAGTGCGCCGTGGTCGACACCCCAAGGGGACCCCCATCCGGGAGGATCATGTCCCTCCTGGACGCCCGCTGACTGCAGACACCCTCCTTTGCTTTGGCTTGGTTTGAAATCGGCTCGAAGCACCGTCCTCTAGAAGAAGTACGCAAGTGGAGGCACCCCGCACGCCCGTGCGACGCGGTCGCATTCTGGCACGCGGTCTCTCCCGAGACCTGCCCTCGACATGGCCGGCCCAGGCACCTGCCCCCGAGCGGTCCCGGGAATTCCCATGGCACTGAGCAGCCAGACACGTCTCTGGATCCCCAGCCTCCGGCCGGCGTTCAGGCAGGCAAGTGTTCGGGCGAGGGACATGGGCGGGCGGTGTGTTTTCGAACGACCCCTTCGGCAGCTCTGTGGCGCCCTGTTGGGGGCTTGGTTGTATTTGGGAGCAGTGTTCAACTGCTCAGAGACCGGGAAAGATCTCGTTACGGGCCCGGGACAGGCTGCAGTGTTTGATCTAGCCATGCTGGCTCATGCACCCCTGGGCAGCTCCCCGGAGCTCCGCACACCGACGGACCTGCAGCTCCCTCTCACCCCTCCCCCCCTCCTCGCCCCTCAGATGCCCCGCCGCCCAGGCCCTGCACGAGTGGTGCCCGTGCACATGATCGCCTCACTGGAGCGCCCCGCACCCTCATCCCCCGGCTGGCACCCTCCCCCTCCCCCCCCGCTTCCCCCCGCCCTCGCCCGCCTACCCCAACGGCAAGCGCGTGCTGCGCGACCCCCAGCCCCAGCTGGCCCACGAGCTGATCCAGGGCGACGCGGCGCGGTTCGCCGCGGCGCACGGCGGCCGCGCGCCGCCCACCCTGGTGCTGGTCCACGGCATCCTGGGCTCGCGGCGCAACCTGCTCTCCCTGGCCAAGCGCCTGCTGGCGGGAAACCCGGCCTGGCAGGTCCTGCTGGTGGACCTGCGCTGCCACGGCGAGTCCGCGCCGCTGTCGCGCGCGCTGCAGGCCCCGCACACGCTGGCCTCGGCGGCGGGGGACGTGCTGCGCCTACTCAGCGCGCTGCGCCTCTTCCCCGAGGTCCTGGTGGGCCACTCCTACGGCGCCAAGGTGGTCATGGCCATGAGTCAGCAGTTTGCGGCCAGGACGGGGCACGGCGGGCGCCTGCCCCGGCCGGTGCAGGTCTGGGCGCTGGACGCGCTGCCGGGGCGCCTGGCGGACGACGACGACGGGGTGGACGCGGGCCACCCGGACCTGGCGCGCCGCTCGCGCGTGGACCACCCCGCGGACCTCATCGCAGCGCTGCGCGCGATGCCGCTGCCGCTGCGCTCGCGCGCGGAGGCCGTGGCCGCGCTGCGCGGCGCCGGCTTCTCCGCGCCCGTGGCCGCCTGGGCGGGATCGGCGCTGCGCCCGCTCTCCTCCTCCGACCCCGGCGGGCCCCTGGTCTGGGCGCACGACCTGGAGGGCATCGCCAGCATGTACGCCAGCTACCGCACCACCTGCCTCTGGGACTTTGTCCGCGCCCCCGTCCAGGGCCTGGAACTCAACTTCGTGCGCGCCGAGCGCTCCGCCTTCCACTGGAGCGCAGGGGATGTGGCGCGCATCCGCGCTGCTGGGCACGCCGTGCACGACCTCCCCGACTCGGGCCACTGGGTACATGTGGACAACCCCGAGGGGCTGCTGGCCATCCTACAGCCCGCGCTGCGACGGGGTACGCCACCTGCGCTGCTCGTCGGCTCCGGGAGTGAATCGGCTGGGGCGCCGGCACAGCAGCCGCCTCAACAGCCGCCCCACCGGCCGCCCCTGGCCAACATCGTGGCCAGGCCGGCGCCGGGGCCCGCCGCCAGCCCCCTCGCAGACCAGGCGCTGTCCTTCCCCTGAGCTCGGCATGTGTGGGACGCTTCCAGGAACGCTCCCCACACTCACCCACCCTCCCACTTTCCCTCCCCTCCTTGTGACCATGGCGTATTGATACTAGCGAAGAGGCCAGTCCCTGTGACTCTCCCCACCCCCTTGTGCTGCTGGTCCTGCGCCGTCAGCGAGCGCACCCCTTCTTTTCTCCACCCATTTATTTTGGCACCCCCCATCGTACCCAATTGCTCTCCCCCTCCCCCCGCAAGCATTTGATTTGTCCCCTGCTCGAGCGCCAAAACGCGCGCTCGGCCCCGCCCCTCTGAGATTGGCATGGCGGGGGCCTTCGCCGTTCTGTAATATCATGAGAGATCATGGCAGTACTTTTCGAGTGGTTGAGCAGGAAGAGCGGAGTGAGGAAGGCGGACGGTATGTGTGCATCTGACTGTGCAGCAGGAGGCTTCCTGCCACCGTGCGGCCACGACGATCCCCTGGGATTCCCGTGAACTTCTATGCCTGCCGCGCCTTGCTGAGCGAGGACCTGGAGCGCGCCGCGCTGCGCCGCCGCGGCGGCTGCAGCACGGGCGACGGCGTGAAGGCTAGCCGCCTGCCGAGCTCAGAGGCCAGCTGCGCCGCCCCCAGGTCCTGGGGCGGGGTCTGGGCGGCCGAGACGGGCACGGGCGCGACGGCGGGGTGCCAGGGACTCTGCGCGCTGGGCCGGGCGCCCGGGGCTGGGGCCTGGCACGTGCCGGTCTGGAACCCTAGTTGGATGCGCTCGTCCTGCAGCGTTTAGAGAAAGGGGTTTGAAGCAGGGCACTATGCCATGGGTGCCATGGCAGAGTACCGCCGTGGATTGCCAGGCTGGGCCATGAAACCTTTGGCAGAGGTAAGGAACAAGGAGACCTGGACCTCCTCCACCTTCCAACAAGGCCAGACCCTCAGCATGCATGTGAATCAAACACCTGCAGCGTGGTGTGGCAGGCCTGTTCCCTGCTTTCCAGCGCGCACAGCTTGATGACATACTCGAGGCAGCCCAGTGTGCCCCATTCCTGGGCCTGGTCTCCCGTGGACCCAGGGAGGCCCGCAGGGTCCTCCGCCCCCTTCACTGCAGACTCTTCACTGGAGCTGGAGGAGGCTGACGGAGAAGGGGACCCGCCGGATGTTGAAGCGGCATCCTCATACCCCTCATCGAGCTGGTCCCGGATCTGGATGGCATAGCAGGTGGCAGCACGCGCTGCGCCTGTGGGGGTTGAAGGTGTGCGGATGCAGGACTTTGCATCGAGTCCAAGGCACATTTCCACCTTCCTGTGGCACGCGCCAGCATGGCACGCGCAGAGACACGCCTTCAGGTAAGCAGCACAGGGCGGTGCACGTCTCCTCACCCTGCCTGTCGGTCCCGCTAGAAGGGGCATCGAAGTGCAGGATGAGGGCCGGCTTGAACTGCCCGCTCCCATGCGACAGACTCTGGCTGCTGCCCCACTCCACCCAGGAGAGATCCGACACCTAGGGAGGCCGGCGAGACCATGTGAGGGAGGGGTTTGGGGTGGGAGAGTGTAGGGGTCCCAATTTCATTCCAAGCAGAGGCGCGTAATGGTAGCAAAGTGTGTGGGAGCATGTTTTCCAAGAGTTGCACAGCTTATGGACAACAGCAGGGTCTGTATGGGATGTTTCGCACCCATCGCCGGGCGCAGTGAACAAATGAGCACCAGGGCGCTGCCACCCGCAACTTGCCCACAGCCTGGCCCCCACCCTGCATTCATATCACCTGGAGGGCAATGCTCTCTGCGCTTTCCTCCTCATCGTGGAACCTGCCATCGTCCAGGCCCTGTTGGATGCTGAGCTGGAAGGAGAAGGGGGCCTGGCCCCGCACCAGGCTCAGCGTGCACAGCGGGAAGACCTCGCTCATCTGTGGCGGCACGCCGGCCTGGGGCCGCAGCGAAGACTGGCGATACCAGGCGACCTGGGCAGGGGCAGGGGGCTAGCAAGGGCTTGCGGTACCATGAAATACATGCAAAGCACGGCGGGAAATGGCAGCAAGCTGTCAAGGCTCTGGGCGAGCAAAGAACAGAGCAAGCTGCCCAGGCGCAGACACCTCAAGGTTCCTTCCCCTACAAGACCTGGTCCAGGGAGTACACAACCTCGCCAGGAAGCTGCTGACTCAGCAGGCTGTGGGAGGCCTGTGCATACCTCGATGGGGATACTGCAGGGACACCTGCATGCCCGACGCCATGAGGAAGGTGGTAAGGGGGGTGTAAACACACCAGACAATGTTGATACCTCAGCATCGGGTCAAAGCCGTGAGTACAAGAGCTGACCGGTTGAAACACCCAGCGGCAAGTTGTGGCAGGTGCATGGAGGATGAACGCGGCAAAAACCTTAAGCCGTGAATGCAGGTCTTACAAGCAGGAAGCATTGTATCTGAGGCGGATGAACGGCAATGCACAGCAGCCCGCCAAGAGCCTGTGAATCACGGCAAAAACGTTCCCACTGTAACCCCATAGGCCCACCTGCCGAGGAAAGGAGCCCCACGGCGCTGATGGCTAGGGTCAAGTAGGGAAGCACCCCATCCAGGGACTGGATCAGTTTTCGAAGCTGCTGCCTGACTGCCACCGAAGAGAGCCTGTCGTCGCGCGGTGCAGCGGCGTGCAGTGCCACAGAGCGTCGTGCCTGGGGAGGGGTGAGGGAGAAACGTGCCTAACAATGGGGATTTGGAGGCTGCTTTTCAGGCACCATTGCCCACTCAGAATGCTGAGCGGGGCGCGGCCGTCCATTGTCGGCGAGGCATTATACAAGCAAGGTCAAGGATCGCAGGAGCAGATCCACAACGATGCCATCCAGCCTTTACTGTCCCTGGGCATGTGTAGGGTAGTAACCAGCCGCCACCCTACCTGCTGGACCTCCTGCTGTGTCAGGAGGTCTTGGAAGGCATCGATGTCATGGAGGACCTTTATGGCAACCCCCACCGCCTCTTGCAGCGCCTGGAGGGAGGTTTGGTGGTTTCCGCAATGGCAATGGATTGATAGAACGGTGAGATTAAGGATTTACTCGCCGCATTCTGAAAAGGCAAGGTGTCAAAGGGCTGCCAGGCGCTCCCCCATGCGGACGCACCGTGTTGGATTGGGTGACGTGGCGGGCAAAGATGTCAATGGGCAGTGCCAGCATCCTTACTTTTGTCTCGAGCTCGGTTTTTAGGTCCAAGAGCTGCGCGAGGATGGTAGAGAGCTTGGTATGGGGCATGGTGTGGCCGAGGACGCCATGCAATTCAAGCTCCGCCCCTGGTATGGATGCACCGTGGATCCTCCAGGGACTTGCATGCGCACTTGTCCCACTGATCACATCGACCCCTGCCCCTTCCCCAGGGCCTACAACTCACCTCTGTATCCCCCTTGTATAGCTGATTAATGGTTTGACCGAGTCCTTTCAGGGAGGTTGCTACACTGGCCTGTACATGCGGAACGTACATTCGGGGGTGACCACATGCCACCTGTCAACAGGGTCTGCGCGCATCGCGGCAAAGGCTCATGCAGTGCCCAGTATCCTCCACACTCTCTCAGCCGACCTCAAATGCTTTCTTGACCACAGTTGTAGCGGCGCTGAGCACCAGCGGGGATCCCAGCAGCGTGATCATGGCGGACTGCCGAACTCACTGCCCGAAACTTTAAGGGGCAGATCTTATACACGTACTCGCCAGGTGTTGTGCATTTCACCGTAATGTACTGATCCAATAGTATTGACACGAGGGTTGGCCCTTGTCCAGCCTCTCACTTTATTTTGATAGGGAATGCAGGCGGGGCGATCATGAGTCTCGGCCGAGTCGTTGCATGATGGCGAAGTATGGGTGGCTGGGATGCCTCCCTCGACAGTTTTATGGCCTGTATACCTCTGTATATCTTCCCTAGCTCGGGCAAGTTTCAACATATGAGAGCTGAAAGGAATTGCTGACACATGCCTGCACCTAGAACCAGGCGGGAGCCTCAGACAAAACCCTGATACCTGTCCAGGGTTAGGCAGTCGCCTGGCTCTGCTCTGGGCCAGGCTTCTCCACCATCCCATCGCTCTCAAGTTCTTCCGAGGCCTTGGCCTCAAAGTACGCAACGTAGGGCAACACGTCTTGCAACCTGCCGCGTGTGTGGGGCATAGGGTGCGATGGGCATGGGGAGGCAAGCGCCAAGCTGCATGGGGAATACTTGGCAGACACAGGGCTCACCATCATCAGTGCTTCAGGCAAGGCATTATGCCTGCTGAGCCACCCTGGCCCATCTCCATCCCCACAGTCATGCAGTCTGAGGCGAGCGTGCTCCATCACACGGATGTCATTCCCTCACCCCGGGGCGTCATCGTACCTCATGAGCAGGAGGGAGAGCAGGGTCCCAGCCAGAAACACGACGACGGGGATCTCCACGAGCTCGGTGTAGAACCTGGAGGAAGCAATGGCAGGCATTCTAGCGAGGGTTTGAGGGGCTGGTGTGGGTTGACTGCATGGTGGGCTGCCGGGGCACCCTCCTCCAGCGCTGTGCAGCCTTCAGGGCACAGGGCCCGCCCCAGCCAGACAGGCCAGCCTCAGACCTCGGCCCCTGCCGCCCCCGCACCTGGGTGGCAGCCTGCCCAGGACCCATTCCCGGCCCCTCTGGGCCAGCCGCTGCGCGACCACGGTGATCACAAACGGCACCGCCAGCGACCAGCGGATGCGCTTGATGAGGGCCCGCGAACGGACCACCGCGGCCCAGCCGCGCTGGCCCTCGAAGATCACCGCCGGCGTGGCGGCCTGGAGGTCCAGGATGAGGGGCAGGGTGAGGGGCAGGGTGACGACCAGGAGGGAGGCAAACTGCAGGGGGACCACCGCCGCGGCGACCAGCAGCTCCACGCTAAAGACGGGGCGCCAGAGGCGGGCGATGTCGGGGCGCAGGGAGCGCAGCGTGCGCAGCGCGCCTCTTGCAGCGGCCAGGATGCCGGGATTGGGTCCATCGGTGCCTGTGGCACTGCCGCCTGCAGCAGTGCCACAGGCTCATGGTTGGATGACCAAGGCGGCGGCTGGGGAGGTGGTGAATCGTGGCACCTTGCAGAGCCCAGGTGGTTACTGAGCAGTGCACTGTGCAAGAATTAGCTTTGCCTGAGGGCACCCCCCAACCAAGATGCGCACGCGCGGCAGAGCACAGAACCAGGACGCACCTGTCGATGCATCGTCGGCCTGGCGCTGGCAGAGGAGGATGGTCGCAACCACTGCCCATGTTTTGAACAAGACGTTGATGGGGAAAGAAAGCAGGAACACAACGAGGGTGACGGCCTGGTAGCCTGCGTGACAGCCGGAGAGTGGGGTGTTGTCAGGGGAGGAGCGAGCGGAATGTTTTGCCAAGGACCAGATAGGAGGTCATCAGACCAGGAAAAGTGTGATACATTTATGAAGATGAAAATTCAGCGAGCCAGTGAAGTGTAGACTGCCCGTCGGCCGCAGTGCCATGTGGAAGCGGCCACTCGCCTGTCTGGAAATTGGCGATCGCAGGATCGACGATGAGATACCATGGATTCAGTACTGTAGACACAGACAGTCCAGGGATGAAGCGGAATGCCACTGTGATGGGGATGAAGAGCGGAGGGGAGTGGTGTGCCTTGGACACTCGGTACTGAAGGCCCCATCATGAGCAGCGGTACTCCTAGTATGTGATAGCTGGCCAGGGTATGGCATCCCAGTACAGTCTCTCATGGCAACAGAGCAGCAGTCCTCGTCAACCCCATCAACCATACCCTCGTTAGTGAGGCGATGGCTCGCACGATGCAGCAGGAAGATGGCGGCATCTGCAAGCGCATGGGTCAGCAGCAGCGCCAGGAGGTTTCTTCGTACTTTGCTTGCAGCAGCCACTACAATACGATACCAGCGAGGAGAACCTTTCGGCTCAGGCGCCCCACTCTCTTGAATAGGTTCTTGGAAAGGGCTGGATGTAGAAGGGGTGGCCGGGGGGCTGTCCTCCGGGGCTGGGGAGCCTGTTGGCCCACTAGAATCGTTGGCCGATGCATGGAGACTTATTGCTAGCCAATGCCTCCTTGCGTGCTCTCGCTGACGAGATCCGGCAGACCATCCACTTCGTGATGTTCCACACCAGGATTTCCTCTCCGGGAGAAGAGCTCTTGAGGCTGGAACGAGCGAAGAGCCGGATCGCTGCTGCAGGCTGGCCGGCCTGCCACCGACATCAGGCGCCAGGCGCAGCGACATGTCTCGAGCTCCGTGGGCTCACGCTTCCATGCTGGAATATAGTTGTGCTCGGAGATGATACTACGGTAGCTGTAAGTCCAGGGATCCTCCTGTACTGCGGACCTCGCGGCGACAATCTGCTCTGAAGATCGGGCGCGGGCGCTGGAAGCCCGTCTTTGCATGGTGCCCTGATGGACCTTGGAACAGTCTATGCCATCGGTTTATTTGAGGGAAATGGGTCTTTCGTATGTATAATCACTCTTTAATGTGAAATCCTTGCACCATGTCGATGCTGGAAGGGTACGACTTGACGGACCCACTCCCGGTGGGAGCTCCTCCCACAAACGCGGAGACCACCTACACTCGATACCACCTGAGTAGCGTCAAGAGTGTGGAAGGAAATGCCTACGACCTTCTGGTGCATCCCAATGGCCTCTGCATAGTACGCTTGAGCCCCTCCCATCCTCTGTGTCAAGGAGGTGAGGGAATGTTGCAGTGGAGGATAAGACCCTTGGTGTGGAGCCGTGTTGAAGTAGGGTTCTCTTGAATGCCACTGAGTACTGTAATCTGCATTGTACGGGCTACAGACAAGGACGCCAAGCTGGATGTGCAGCTGGGCTCAGCAGTGTCTGAGGCGGTGTACAGGAAAGGCCGTGGGCCCCGACTGCAAGCCGACTCCCTCCTGTGCCGGTGAGCTTCAGGTGTGGGGAAGCACCCTTCTTTCCGACCAATCAAGCTCAAAGGTGGCCGTAGATGGATGCCTCTCTCTGGTCACCAAAATTCGCAATCCTCCCCCACATGCTGCATCGTCTCAGAGTACGAGACCCAGAGACCGGACAGGAGCATGCTCTGCATGCCGCAGTCCAAGGCAGCCTCGTTGACGTCAGTTTACACCTATTGAACAACACTCTGTCAAGGAGGTGAGGTGGTGGGCCACTTTCTGAATGTTGGTTGGGTTCTGCACTCAGCATGCCACCCGCAGCAGTGCCAGAGCGGGCAGATGCCTGCTCTCCCAGGCCCCAGATAGGTAGCATTGTCTGTCTGGTATCTTGCAGGCAGCTGCTGGGTGGATATCTGGCAGTACTGGACCCACCTCCGCGTGAGCTGGAGCGACTTGCTTCAGAACATGCTAAAATTGCGGAAGGGACCCCCAAGATTCAATGACACACAACAGGAAACGCCTCATAGCCCTTTGACAAGTTCGAGTGCATGGTGTGCTCCTGCTGCAGCAGCATGACCCTCCCTGACCCGCTTCAACAAACCCTTGAGCGCCACTGCATTGTCTGTGTATAACATCAAACGTAGAGATGGCAGACATGGCTTTGTCGAGGCACAGAGCGCGTGCAGCTTGGAGGCCATGCACAAGAGTCAGTGGGGGGGTGCACAGGGAATGGGTGGGAGCTGGTAGCTACAGAGGGAAGACGCAACATGGTGAGGATGTGTCAGAGCAGGAAAGGAGAGTGGCGTGGGCTGGGATTTGGCTGGAGAAGGGGAGGGAGAAGCATTGGCCTATGGCTTGAAGGGGCCAGGCAATGTTGAGCAGGTGCGGGTTGCTGCCTGACTCGTGCCCAACTTCTCCAAAGTCAGCTGCCTCCAGCCCACCGGCGCCGAGGAAAACGTTCTAAAAGTCCTCGTCAAAGGACATGGTGTGGCTGCCGTCGTTGGTGACAGTGGCCATCACGTTGGCCTTCTGGTAGTCGCCCACTCGCTTCTCGAAGAAGTTGGTCTTTCCCCTGTGGATTAGGAGATGGTGGGAGGGTGAGACCTTACCGGGTGTCGATTCGAGGGGAGCCCTGGCACAGACGCAGGTCGCTCCTGCAGGTGCCTGGGCAGGCATGTGGCCTCACCACCTGTGCGCAATGCCACACCAAGCAGGGTGACACTCCAGGGAAACCCATAATAGGAACTCAGCCGGAGAACCACCGACGCACTGGAGCGAGATGAGCTCCATCCAGTCAAAGGGGTTCTTGGTGTTGTAGTGCTTGGGGCTTCCCAGGGCGACCAGCAGGCGATCCGCCACAAACTCGATGTACTGCAAACAGTGTTTGGTGAGAGGAGGAGTGCTCGATGGCAGGCTTCTCAAGGATAGTTCTCAGGTGGCTGCTCAAACACAGCACCTCTCTCAAGGCAGGAGTCCAAATCCAGAGCAGCAGGGACCGGTCCTCCACACCAAGCAAAGGAGGCGTGCCCTAGGCACTCTTCCAGCGGCCAGGTCTGCGGGGTTTCACGCAAGGCACAGGCTCGGCAGCTGCATCAAACGGTCACCCCAATGCCAAAGGACGCAGCCCCACCTGTGCCATGAGACCGGCATTCATGCCGATGAGGTCCACCGGGAGGGCGTCACAGATGAACTCCTTCTCGATGGAGACCGCCTCCAGCACGATCTCGGCGATGCGCTCCTGGCTGAGCTTGTCGTTTAGGAGCCTGTGTGTTTGGAAGCATGGGGAGGGACGACATGGGGCAGGGTGCCGGGCAAAAGGAAATTCAGCACGCAGTGTGGGCCAAACGATGGACGTGACAGACCCCTTGCGCTCGGCACCCGCACCCTGGTCAGAGCACTCTCGTGGCGTTCAGGCTGGGACTCCCTCCCAATCATCCCAGTCCATGCCAGCCTGGCCACTCACGAGTAGAGAAGGCAGGCAAAGTCGGTGTGCAGGCCCTCATCGCGGGAGATGAGCTCGTTGGAGAAGGTCAGCCCCGGCATGAGCCCCCGCTTCTTCACCCAGTAGATGGAGCAGAAGGAGCCGGAGAAGAATATGCCCTCCACGCAGGCAAAGGCGACCAGGCGCTCGGCGAATCGCTCTGCGCTCGAGATCCACTTCAGCGCCCAGTCGGCCTTCTTCTTGACCACTGGTACCGTCTCGGTGGCGTGGAACAGCATGTCCTTCTGCCGCGGGTCCTTGATGTACGCATCCAGCAGCAGGCTGTACATCTCGCTGTGGATGTTCTCGATGGCGATCTGGAAGCCGTAGAAGGCGCGGGCCTGCCGGGTGGTGGATTTTGGGATGGTGGGGCCAAGGTAACGGTGAGTAGCATGGTGGAGGGGCCAAGTTCCCAAGACTGAGGGAAACACTGGGAGAAGGTGGCATCGCCAGGCATGCAGCTTCAGGCGAGGATAACTGCAGCCTGGCAGGATGGTCCTCTTTCTCAAACCACTCCCACCTCTGGGATCGTAACCTCCTTCATGAAGCGGACGCCCAGGTTCTCCAGGACGATGCCGTCCGCCCCGGCAAAGAAGGCGAGAATGTGGGAGATGAAGTGCTTCTCGTTCTCGTTCAGCTTCTCCCAGTCCTGCATGTCGCTGCCCAGGTCGACCTCCTCAGCTGGAAGGGGGGGGGGGGGGGGGTGGATGGGGGGTTTGGGAAGGGAAGGATGCACACCAATCCCGGGGTGGGTGACAAGAGCAAAGTGGAAATGCGCCATCCTAATATGTGCACTTAATCCTGGGTCATGAGGGATGTAGAATATACAGCTCTCTTGAGGTCCAAGAATCTTCCGTCTCACCGGTCCAGAAGGATGCCTCGGCCTTCTTGTACATCTCCCAAACCTGAGAAACGGACATGTTCAGGCGTTGGGGGACCGACCTCACCTTCTTCCGGGAAGGGCGCCCGTGCTCGGCGCGCACGCTCGTCTCAATTTAAACATTTACGTCACACATGCCATCCAACTCACGTACCTGGGGGTACTTGATGGGGAACATGGTGAAGCGCTCCTCGCTCTCGCACAGAATTGATTCCTTCAGATCTGTGGTGGAGAGAGAGTTTGGCCCCATCAAACCCCGCCCGGGTCATCATGCAGGCTCGATCGGCTGATGGAGGTCTGCACTGTTCATACGAAGCGATCATCGAAACAGCGATGGCGAAGGCCTCGTGCGAGCCGCACCTGCAGCGCAGAGGGTGGACTCGACTGCCGACATATTTATGGGCGAGCTGACGCGACCGAAGAAATCACTCGAAGCCTTGCAGTACTGGCTTTATTCAATGGCACGCAATGATCTTGGTAAGGGAAATGGTTGGTGTCGGGGGGACGGCAAGGTTTGTCAGCTGGTCTTCAATAGTTTGAGTAGGGCTTCGGGCTTTCCACCCCCTTCAAAACTTGCTTTGGACGCGCGCCTGGCTGGTTGCAGGACGCGAGTATGTCGGAAGCACACTGAGAGAGAACTACCAACGGGTCGATTCCTCATGGCATGACATGTTCTGCACACAAATAATGTGACTGATTTAATGATGACTACACATTCCCACTGTCCAGACCACGGGCGACATGCAGCTCGAATGGCACCGGCTCGCCCTTCCCTCAAGTCACTCATCGCCTGATGAACGGGGCTCCAGGTTGGATGGCGCCATCTCCAGCGGTGTTGTGTGTTTGTATGTTGTAGATTCTCAGTTCTTGTTGTGTCCCCATTGGCGGCTGGTCTCCTGTCGGGGCCCTGCAGAGTGGCCACTCTGGTGTGCCCATTGCAGGCCTCCATGCTTGATCCTATTTTCTGCCGTTCCTACCTTTGCAGGAACAGGATGGATGTCGTACTGCAGACCTCCTTCCCCCCGTCGTGGTACCGATCATGGAAAACGGAACATGGCAGACCAGGCTACTGGAATGGGGGCAGGGATTACCAGCGCTGCAGGAGCAGGGGCAGGGAATACCCGCGCCGCCGGGCCCACACCTGCCAGCGCCATCCCAGCCACCGTTCAGTTCCCAGACAGGTTCCTGGCTGTACCTGCCAATCCGCTGCTGGAGCGGATGCGCTGCACGTACTGCGCAGGTGGGGCCTAGCGTGCAGAATTGGAGGTGGACTGTGTGCTCATGGGCTATCGTGAGTGTACCGACCTCCTGTCCGGCCACCACCACATGAATCACTCGCCTCGGGCATCCCCCTTACATGCCCCTCCAGGCGGATACATGCAACCCCTCGTCCTGACCAGCTGCATGCATCGCTTCTGCACCGCTTGCTGGAGCAACTGGGCTTCGAGACAGGAATGCCTGGGCAGGTGTGAATGGTGGGGTACGCGATGGGTGCAGGGACGTCGTGGGCATGGGTTCTAGCAGGTGACCAGCCACGGCCGCCTCGCCCACGTGGGTGAGGCTGCGCCCTCAACGCCCTGCCGATATGACTGAAGCTGCGCCATAACCGCCCCGCTCATACTGATGAGACTATGCCACAAATGCCCCGCCCGCACTGATGAGGCTGCACCCCCGTCCCGATGCCGCAGAGCCCCAAACTGCCCACAGTGCAACACCCCCGTCCCGCCCGGCGCCGTGCGCGTGGTGAGTTGGGCCTTGGAGCATGATTTCATGGCGGAGGGCCTGCCAATCAATCTCCTGGCCTGCAGGACACCCCCCTTCTGGACCCTGTGCCATTCACATGCCTGCCCCCCCCCCCTCCCCAATGAAAAAGCAATTTACCTCCTCCTTTTACCCTCAGGACACTGACTTTGACGCCCTCGTGAACATCGTGCTGGGCCCCCATCGAAGGGCTGGCGGCCCCCCTCCACCACTCGCTTCTGGACGGCAGGGGTGGAGGGCGGGTGCAGCTGTGCAAGAGCCACCCGGGGCTGACTGCACCGCCTCTCTGCATGCACCAGGGGTGGCGGGCCACCGGGGCCCCTCGTCAGTGGCGCAGAGCGCCACGGGAGCCCTGCCGGCGACGGCGTGGCCGAGCGGGGGCGAGCCGCCCGCACGCCTGCCACCGCGGCCCCGCTGCCCGCTGCCCAATGGAGGCCTGACGGGGCCGCAGGCCCCGCGCTGCGACCCTCGTGGGGGCATTGAACCAGTACCGCCAGCACACTTTGCCACGCTGCTTGCAGGCGCCTCCGTGCCCGCCGCACCGCTGCTTGCAGGCTCCTCCGTGCCCGCCGCACCGCTGCCTGCAGGCGCCCCCGTGCCCGCCGCGCCACTGCTTGCAGGCTCCTCCGTGCCTGCCGCCGCGCCACCCGCAGGCTCCTCCGTGTCCGCCGTCGCGCCGTTTGCAGGCGCCCGTGTCCAGATCCCTGTGACTCATGCAGGCCTGAGTACCCACGCCGCCGCGCCGTCCGCCGCTCCGCAAGAGGCCGGCGGCGCTGCGCGTCTCAACGGCGCCGCGGCGCAGGGCAGCGCGCCGGCGCCCATCCCGCGGCCCGCCCGGGCGGAGCCCGATCCCCGGCCTGTCTCGCTCCAGCCCAGCCCCGACCCGGGGTTCTGGGCGGGGTTCAAGGGGGTGCGGCAGCAGAGCAGGGGTTGGAGCAGCCGGTCCAAGCACAACGGCGAGTTCAGGTTCCTGGGCTCCTACGACTCGCCGGGTGGGTGGTGGGTGGGGTGGGAGGAGAAGGTGGCAGGGCGTGTCATGGATGGGGGTCTGGAGGGGGTGGAGTGCATGAGACGCATGCTGGACAGCATGTGCTCGGGGTAGGAGGCCCCGACCCTGAGGGAGCTCAAGTCGCTGCACAGGACCCGGCTGCACCCGGCATCGGGGCCTGGCGCTCTCTCATGCACCCATGCCAGTCGCCACCACCTCCAGCCCACCCCTCCGGTCCACACCATTAGGTGAAGCGGCGGCTGCCTACGACCTGTTTGTCGTGGGCACCGTCCTGGCCTCCAGGTGGCGACTCAACTTTCCCAGGCTGCGGTGCGTCTGGGTGGTGGAGGGAGTTGCGAGCAGTGCACCTTGCTCACCGCGGGTGCACCTGGGTGGGGGTAACCAGTGCCCCCAGTCGGGAGAGTTGGATCCCAGCGACGCACTCCCAGCCTGCCATCCCCGCTCCTGCTCTCCGTACCCCTGGCGTGTGGCCTGGCCCACGCGCGATGCCGGCGCTCCCCACCCCACCCTCCCCATGCCCCGACGCCCGCCTCCACCCAAGTCCCGCCCCTCCGCTCCCAGGGCGCTGTACATCGAGCTCACACACCCCAACCAGCGCAGCATCTCCACGCACCTGCTCACCCAGCAGCTCCCCATCCTGGTCGGCGCCCTGGCCCGCAACCCCCTGGCGGCATACATCCTGGAGGCCACCGAGCCCGACGGAGAGCTGCTGCCCGGCGCGTACCCCATACGGCCCGCGGCGGCGCCCGACGAGGCGCGAGTGGCCGGCGTCGGCTGGGGCTCCGGGGGCCGCTGCGGGCCCCGCACCCGGCGGGCCGGCGCCCCGCCGCCCCCGGCACCGCCCCCCCCCTGGTGCCGCGCCACCTGACCCCGGAGGAGCACCCCGCCGAGCTGGCGGCGGCCTACGCCGAGGCCGTGCCCGGCGGGCCGGGCGCGCTGCGCGGCGAGGCCCGGCGCGCGACGGTGCTGGTGGCGCCGCGCCCCCCCGAGCGCTGCCGTGCCGTGGGCGTCTGGGGCCAGGCGGACCCGGGCGGCGGCGGGGGGCAGGCGCTGCCCCAGCAGGCCCTGACCTGCCCCCCCACCGCGACCCTGGCAGATGTGCAGGAGGTGGGCCAGCAGGAGGGGGCTGGGCTTTTCACTTTCTGTGGGGGTGCGATCTGTCCTGCCCAGGATGTGCCAGGCGTGGCGAGCACGGCTCGGCGGGTGGCCCTGGCAGTTCGACCGGGTGCCGAGCGGCACGACACACTCGTGCGCTGGGCAGCCCCCCGCTCGCCACGCCTCCCGTCTCGCACACCCTGGCCTCCCAGGTCGTGGCCCAGGCCCTGGCGGCCCGGCCGGGGGCTCGCCCCGGACAGGCGAGGGTCACGGTCGCCGGCAAGCGCGGGGCGCGAGACGCGGCCGCCGATCCCGGCGCTGTGACGATCCGGTGAGGTGCCTGGGGAGGGGATGGGTGGTTGCTCCAGAGGGGGGCTTCCTCCGGACCCCCCCGCTCCCCAGGGAGTGGCAGGATCCGTAGCATTGCCGCATGACATGCGGCACTTGATGTACAAGGACATACTGGCACCAGTCACACCCGCTTCCTGGCTCGGCTTGGGGCTTGCAGCCCCCTGCGCGACCATCTGCAGTGGGCCATACGCGCTTGCCAGCCCCCACTCGCCATCCCTCCGCCACCCGTTCCCTCATCCAGGGACCTCCTGCTGGAGAGCGAGGATCCCACCTGCTGCCTGCGCCTGCACTATGAGGTCCTGCCACCCAAGGACGCCTGTGAGCCACGGCTGGAAGCCACATGGAACACGCCAACGATAGCCAGCGATGAATGTATACGTATGTGACGCACCATGATCAGCTGCCGCTTGGAACGCATAGGATTCAACCTTGTCGATGCATCTCAGAACACTGCTGGGTATACTTGAGGATTCAAGGGTACCCCATGAATCATTGCTGCCTGACAGCTCTGCTCATGGCAGCGCTCCACGAAAATCATGCTAGGAACTCGTCCGACTTTGTCCCACAACTTTGTGGCTGGGCCTTCCTTCACGGCATCTGATAGCCCCAGATTGCTATGGAGTTTCGCTCATTAGGGGATGGACAGGAGTTGTGCAGGAAGGGTGCAACGCTCGCATTCTACTGTAGAAGAGCACGGGTCGGGTGATTTGAACATTGTGACCCCAGTGACGCTCCAGTATACTGCCTTCTCTGCACCGGGACTAGTCATAGTTGCACTCCCCTTTGCAAACACTCCGTACCTGAGATTAGCCTAGCCTAGCACTTCCATTATTTTGGATCAGTGTCATATGTACGTGGAAGCTCTCTGGATGACTACCATGGGGGGGGCCCATTGCAGTTGCCATTTTCATGACAAAATTATCCAATTTAGCCTTGTCAAACACCAGGTGGCGTCTTCAGAATCCTCTCACAGCCTCTCAAGGAATAATGTGGAGTGAAGGGATGTGATGCAAAGGAAGGCTGCTCGGCTGGTGCATACGCATGCCACCTTCCCTCTGCACACCGGAGGGAGGCCGGTTGTCAAACTAAAATCCAACATGTGGCACCGCGCGCGCAAATGTCACGACGTTTGTCTCATGCATGGCTGGGCACTCCCGTACCCGCTAAAGAGATATAAGTATATTTCTTTGTCCAAAGTGAGCTTGGGCGGATTGACCACCGCCTTCTTCTCATCCTCGCCGGGACCAGTACCGACAGCACCAGCTATGCAGGGCGCCAGCCTGTGCCGATCCCCCGCATTCCAGGCACAGCCTACCAGGACATCCGCAAGGCGATCAGCATGCTCAACGAGTGCGGTTCTGGCGCCGTCCCGCAGCGTCAAGGCCGCCAAGTCTCACACCGAGTCCCTGCAGCAGATGCGCCTCGTCACGGGTGGGTCACGCAGGATGGGGAACGAGGGTTTGGGCCGCATTACCGGCGCCCCAGATGAGCATTTGATGATATTGATTGGATGGTAATGCTTCATGCGCCCTTGTCATGGGACCCCGGGCCGGGCATTATGAGGGAGGGGGGGGCCCAGCACGCCTCCTTCAATTCTTCGGGGCGACTTATAGACCTCCCCCTTTGCACGCCTTCACCCCCATCCCAGCCATCAAGACCCCTTACCTGGCCTCCGGCAAGTTTGACCTGGTCACCTACGACCGCCTGGTGGACGCCCAGATCGAGGCTGGCGTGGATGGCCTCATCATCGGCGGCACCACGGGGGAGGGCCAGCTCATGTCCTGGGACGAGCACATCATGCTCATCGCGCACACCGTCAACTCCTTTGGCGACCGCGTGCGCGTGATCGGGAACACGGGGTCCAACTCCACACGCGAGGCGGTGCACGCCAGCGAGCAGGGGTTTGCGGTGGGCATGGATGCTGCGCTGCACATCAACCCCTACTACGGCAAGACCTCGGCCGTGGGACTGGCCACCCACTTCCAGGCGGTCCTGGCCGAGGGGCCCGCAATGCTCTACAATGTCCCGGGCCGAACAGGTGCGAGGATGGGTTGTTTACCACTTGGCTGGGGGGTTGAGTTGGGGGTGGTGGAGGGGGTTGCACAGTGTTGGGAATTGGAATGTGCTGGTGTGGAATGACGCGAGCTTCCCCTAGGACCGGCAGGGCGTTGCCCTGGCGGTGTCATTGGGGCGCGTAGGGATCTCGTGCCCGGACTGGATGAGGGATGGCGTGTGGGACGGGAGCCGCTGTCACAGTGGACCATGCAGTCCCCTGGGCGTCACAGGCTGCGGTGCACTGCCAGCCGCCGTCGCATCCTGCGGGCGCTGGAGACCCTGCAGATGCACACCAAGCACACCGCGTGTCCATGCGTCGTGGACCCTGCTCCTCCCTTGTCACTCCCCATCTGCACCTCCCTTTCCCCCCTCCCCCAGGCCAGGACATCCCCGACGACGTCATCCTGGCCCTGCGCTCCCACCCCAACCTGCTGGGGGTCAAGGAGTGCACGGGGAACGCGCGCATCGCGGGCTACGTCGGCCGCGGCGTGACCTGCTGGAGCGGGAACGACGACGAGGCGCACGCCGCCCGGCACGAGCACGGAGCGCAGGGCGTGGTCTCCGTCACCAGCAACCTGGTGCCGGGGGCATTTGCCGCGCTGATGGCGCGCCGCGACGATGAGCTGGCGGCCAAGCTGGCGGATCTCATCGCCTGGCTCTTCGCGGAGCCCAACCCCATCGGCCTGTGAGTGTGCTTGGAAAGGGAGAGGTGGTTGCTGTTCCCTTGGGATACTGAGGAGGGTTCACGAGGGGTAACACTGCGTGTTGCAGGGGGCTGCTGGATCGCGGCTGTGGTGCACCACCCGCCCCGGCTCCACTCCAACAGCCCACACACCCCTCCACCCGCCCTGTCCCCTTGAAAACAGAAACACGGCGCTGGCGATGTGCGGCCTGGTGAAGCCGGTGTTCCGGCTGCCCTACGTGCCGCTGCAGAGGGAACAGCGGGGAGCGGGGGTGAAGATTCTGGAGGCGGTGCGGGAATTCATCCCGGGTGTCAAGGTACCGAGGGGTCGCACTGTGGCTCGAGACACTGGGGCTCTAGACCCTGGGGTGGAGGCGTCGATGGGTCCCAGACAATCCCAATCCTCCAGCTGTGGGCTGGACGGAGAGGGGATGGTCATGCTTGACAATCGCCCTGTCCATGATACCGTACAACATGTGGGGCCTGGTGGCGGCCAGCAGCAGAGTAAACTCTCCTCCTGCCACCCCTCTGATGTGCCTCCCCTCCCCTCCCAACGCAGGACATTCGCGCGATGGAGGACGACGAGTTCACTGCGCTCGCGTCCTTCTAGATGCCGAGTGGCAGCATGTCCAGGGCCCCCCAAGCGGCCTCATGGTGTCCGTCATATCAGGCCCGAGTCTTCAAAACCGTGTGCTTGAACCGGTACAGACTTTCACAGTGCGAGGGATGTAGTGCATGAATGACCAAGTCGTGAAAGGGGAGAAGGCAACAACTCCAGTCCAGGGGCATGTCTGCACCCCTCGACGCCGCTCTTCGGTGCGGGCAGGGGTTGCTAGGCCATGAGAGGTGTGCAAGAGGGAAGAGCGTGCCTGAAAACGTGTGTGGGGTGTGAGCCTCCCAGTGAGGGATGCGCAGCGCCAATTCTTGAGGTCGCGACAGCGTCGGCCAGCGCATTCGCAGCGACACGTTGTGGAACCTGTAGACAGCCCCCCGAGGGGGCATGCTCCCGGCAGTCAGACCCCGGGGCACGCTCCCGACTTGACGGCCCAAGGCGCTCAGAGCAGGACAGCCTGCCTGTCCGGCACAACATCCTCCGGTCCGCCCCAGCCAGAGGCCTCCAGGCTCACTGGCAGCGGCTCGGCCGTCAGGCTCAGGTCGGCCGAGAGGCCCGAGAGGCGAGGCGACCCTCGCGACGCGTCCCAGTGGACCACGGCCGTGGGCCAGTCTCCCACAGACGAGGACTCAGCCTTTTCGTCGCCGCTGGCGGCGGCGGCGAGCGAGCGCAGGGCCTCCACGCCCCCGAGGCCCTCCACCGCCCCCCCCAACCAGAACTGGCCGGGGGTCTGCGCTGCTGGCGCGTGCCCAGTGGACGCGGAGGGCGCGACCGTGGCCGACACGGGGGCCGTGTCGTCCCCCCGCGAGTCGCCCGCCGCCTCTCGTGCTTCATCCCAGGCCGCAGCCGTTGCCTCCACTTCGGCTGCATCACCCGCGACGGCTCCCAAATCAGGGCTCGCTTTCACAGGCCGGCCGGCCGCCAGCTGCGCCAGGCCCTCGGCCTCACTGGCGAGGAGGGGCTGGGCCGTGGCGGGCCTGCCGTCGAAGAGCTGGGCCAGGAGGCCAGCCCTCTCGGCGTACCGCTCCAGAGCCTCCTGCCTCTGCATGCATGTGTGCGCATGTGCTGGTGGATGGAGAGGGAGGTCCAAGGATGCGTCGCACACGGCTGTCTGGCTGGGGATTCATCGCGGTGCAAGCAGGTGCCCATTCTTTCCCTGGGCATATCGAGCACACGACTTCCAAAGCAGCCCACCACCACCACCCGCAACACACGCGGCGCCCCCCCCCCCAAAAAAAAGCCCACCTGGGCGCGCGCCGACGCCACCCTTTCCAGCGCGGCATGCCTCGCCCGCTTTCCCGTTGGCACGGCCAGCGCGTCCCTCCAGAAGTGCGACACATGCTGCACCACGCTCTCGTGCTGGGACTGGCGCGGCGCGGGCTTGGTCGCGGATCGCGGCGGCGGCGTGTCCGCCGGCCGCGCCGCCGCCGGGTGCAGAGAGTGCTGCGCGGGGGCCGGCGAGTGCGCCGCCGCGAGCGGCTGCCGGGCGGGGCCCTGCGCGCCCTGCCCGCCGATGATGGTGCGCGCCGAAACGCCGGGCGGCAGCGAGTGCGCCGCCAGCGAGTGCGCCGCCAGCGAGTGCGCCACGCCGGGCGGGCCGGGCCGCGGCGCGGGCAGCGAGGCGGAGGCCAGGCTGCGCTGCGGCGCCGGGGGCGGCGGCGGCGGCAGCGAGCCGGCCGGCCCAAACCCGGGCGGGAGCCCGCCGGGGGCGGCTTCTCCATAGCCGCTGCCTGGCCGCGCGGCCAAGAGCTGGCGCTGCGTCCGGAACTGCTGCAGGGCGGAGGCGCGTTGCAGCGCGCCGGGGTCCGCGCCGCCGGGCCCCAGGTCCAGCGGCGGGCCCGCCGCGCCAAAGGGGGGTCCGGGGCCTCTGCGCCCCAGGCCCATGCCCTGCACATCCATAGGGGACAGCTGGCGCTGCATCTGGCCGGGGTGGGAGGGCAGGACGCTGCCCGGAGCGGCGCCGGGCACCCCGCCGCCCATCCCCCAACTGTGTGTTCGAGGAGAGGGGAACAGATCTTTGGGGGCCGCAGCTGAGCAGAGAAAGGTCCCTTGGCAAGGGAGCCATACATGCGCAGGGCTGCGGGATGATGGGCTGCGAGCTGCGGCACCAGGACATGCCGCCACATGCAACTTGCTGCCACCCTGAACCGCACAAGCGACAAGGGCCCAGATTTCTGTGCCTCCTCCCCTCCGCAAAATGCAAACCCCTCCGCCTGCCCGACCCTCACCCCGCCAAGAGCCTGCGGGCCCCCGCCCCCCAACCTCCTCTACACCCGCAAGCTCGACTCACAAGCGCGGGTCCTGGGACGCGGGCGCGCTCTGCTGCGCCATGCGCTGCTGCTGCTGCTGTTGCTGCGCGGCGTGCTGACGTAGCGCGTGCTGCTGCATCGCCGCGGCGTGCGCCTGCATGTACTGCTGCTGCTGCTGCTGCGCGCTGGGCGCCTGCGCCGCGTACTGCCCGCTCGCCGCCAGGTACTGCTGCGCTGCCGGTGTCATCGGCCCCGGCACTGGGGTCGCGCCCGCCCCGCCCGGCGCCGTGGCGGGGTTGGCGGCCTCCAGGCCCGCGGCGAGCCTGCCGCGGCCCAGCTGCTGCTGCGCCGCCGCGGCCGCCGACCGAGCGGCGGCCGCCTCCTCCCCGGCTGCGCCCCAGCTCGAGGGCAGGCCTGGCCCCTGCTGTTGCTGCTGCTGGGCCTGCGGCGGGGGTAGAACCCCGGGGGACCCACCCAGGCCCGGCCGCTGCCCGGCCCCGGCATACCCAGCGCCGGCGCCCGGGGCCGCGCCCAGCGGCAGCGCCCCTTGCTGCGCCCGCGCCTGCATGCCGTGGTGCCCACCGGTCCCCAGCGCAGCTTGGGCCCCAGGGGTCCCGTGGCCTAGCGCCGGCCCGCCGTGCCCAACCCCTGCTGCTGCTGCTGCTGCGCAGACACCCAGGCCTCCCGCCACGCCTGCATCTGCTGCGCGTGCTGCGCCCACTGCTGGTCCTGGGCCGCGCCCTGCGGCGGCTGCGATGGCTGGCCCGCCGGCGCATACACGCCCGCGGCCTGCGGCATGTGCAGGGCCGGGCGCGTGGGGGCGTGGACCCCGGCGCCGGGGTACGCCATGCCGCCGTAGCCGGGCGCCAGGCCGTGCTGCTGCGCCTGGCCCTGCAGCGGGCGCTGGCCAAAGCCCACGCCGGGGGCGGGGCCGGGGCTGGCGCTGGCGCCGTACGCCTCCGCCTGCCCCTGACCCGGCACGCCGTACAGGCCCGCGTGCGGGGGCGGCGCAGGGGTGGGACCGGGCGCGTACGCGCCGGCGGGCCCACCCCGCACATAGTACGCGTGCTGCTGCCCGCCCGGGGCCTGGGGCCCCCCCAGGGCGGCCAGGTACCCGCCCGGCGCTGCGCCCAGCATGCCCGGCGCGGCGTCGCCCGGGCGGGGCGAGGGCCCCGGCGCGCCGCGCTGCGCGGCGTCCTGCTCCTGGCGGGCCGCCATCTCCGCGGCCGCCGCCTGCTGCTGCTGCTGGCGCGCCACCGCCTCCCGCATGCGGGGCAGCAGCTTCTCCTGCACCGCCCGTGTGGCGTCCTCCACCGAGCAGGTCTTGGTCTGGCGCAGGGTGGCGGTCATGATGACCAGCTGTGAGGCCACTTTCCGCTGCACCGCGGGGGTGAGCTGCTCCAGCACGGCGTTGTAGGCGGCGGAGACGTGGGAGGCGGGCAGGGGGGCCGGGGGGTCGGGGGTGGGGCGGTCCGCTGCCTGCCCGGAAGCCAGCTGGGCCGAGCCGGGGTGCTGGCCCAGGCCGGCGTGCTGGCCCAGGTACATGGGGTGCATGTTGCTGTGCTGAGTACCGTTCAAGGTGGGGGCAGGGACCTGCTGGCGGGGCCACCCTTCCGCCATCGCTCCCTGGGAGGGTGGTTTAACGACATTGGGCCAGTGCTGCTTGGAGCGGTGGGGATGCAGGGATCGAAGGGACATGAAACACCGAGAATTTATGCACCCTCACCTGGGGCTAGGCAGTCGAAGGAGGTGCGGGGGTCATGGGATACGGTACCTGCACGCCGCTGCACCTGACGGTCCCTCTCGCACACAGACGAGGAACGAGCAGATGCACAGGACGACACAGACTTCCCACAATTTACAAGGATACCGATGCCAAATTGGCCTAGGAGAGGCGCAAAGGAGAGCTTGTGAGTCTTGTCTCGACTGCATGTGTCCCTGCGTCCGAGGTGTGGCACTTCGCAAAATCGAATCAAGTGGGGCGGGCAGAAGTACCTTTCGGTTCGCCACGCATGTTCCTGACGCTCCTCGATGGCACAGCCCCCATAGCATTGGCATTTTCGGCATTCACCGCCTTGACACTAGGGCGTTCCAATAGTCTAGCTTACACGATCTATGACTGGAAGGTCATCGAGGAGGCTGCAACAGTACTCCAGTAAAGTAATTGGAAGTCTCTCTGGGTGCTCATCCAGCACGCAGAGTTGGCCCCAGTGTGCATCGTCCTTGGTGACTCACCATTGGCTGCACACAGTAACAAGCGGCCGGGGCCTTGGAAGGCCAAGCTTCCACTGTGTATGAACATTTTTTAAACCTTTTGGCAGGGTGAGGACTGTGGATTGCTGGTGGCAGCCTTCGCAGCAGCAAGCAGCATCAACACCTTCAAACAAACTCTGTTCATCACTTGACACCGCTTCCCGTCGCCATGTGGTTGCCTCTTGGACTTTTCCCAGGCTTTACCTTTGAGCCTCAGCTGGCATCCTTGCCCTTCTTGTTAGCCTGCCAAAGGGAGGCATCCTCGGGGCCTGCTCGATGAGGACCAAATTGCGCTGAAGCCCGCTCCCTTCTTGTTACTGTGGACAGGTCCAGGCTTTCAGGCAGCAACCAAATGTTATCTTCTTGGTCAAAATCTCGTTGCAACCCCCTTGGATATAAATGGCAGCGATCAAGCGCATGATCTCAAAACAGATCCACGGCGAACAACGCACTTTTGTTCGGATGGCCGGGGAAAGTGCGCACTCAACTGTCCCCGCGAGGGAATGACCTGAGAGATCACAACTAAATTTCCACAAAGACATAGCCAACCACACTTGCCGAGCTGCAAGCCCCACTGACCCGGCCGACCCTCTTCCCGGGGCTAAGTGATACAAAGCTGTCCATTGCGGATACGATCCCATGGGAACTACTGTGTAGGGAAAGCGGAGCTTGTCCACACCAGTCATCGCATGGAGAGTGGCGTGGACGGGCGACCGCAGCGATCCCGGTGCAGAATTGCTGCCTTGCTGTTATTGGCCGTCGTTGCCTGCTGGCTCCCGATCAGCCGAGGAGAAGGACTGGAGAAGTCTGCGACTGGCGACCAAGGGCTAGAAGCCGGATCGCGGGTTGCACAGGTTCATTCCCTGGGAGACGGCCAGACTCTGGATGCTAGCTCTGACGCCAGGCAGCTGCCAGGGAATGCAGGCTCAGCTGCAGAGAAGGCCAACGCATCGGCCCATGTCAAGGAAGCTGAGCAAGCTCAGGGCACCCCTGCGGGACAGGAGTATGTCGCCATCTGTGCCGCCACGAAGGATGCGGGCCCCGACGTTCGGGAGTGGGCAGACTACCACCTTCGCTTGGGAGTCGCCCGCATCTACCTGTTTGACACGGACAATCCCGAGCCTGTGGAGCCAGACATTGCAGTGCGTCTCTTCCTCTTGGCGGGAGGAGAGGGCCTTCATTGTAGACAGGGTGGTGGGGATGTGACTGGCTGATCATCACTGGCTGTGTGCAATGGAGTCGGCCCCTGCCCCGTGCTGATCGGGCATGCATGCGCCTGGTGAACAGTGCACCAACTAGGCTGCAGCTCCCCAACCATTGCAGTCCCCTCCCATGCACACAGGACTTCATCAATCAGGGGCGCGTGGAGTACTACTACCTGCCGCGAGTCACGCCAATAACTGTGCCTCTGATGCAGGTGCCAGATTGACTGGAGTTTGTGCATCTGAGACCAAGGGGGCGCTTCCTGCACATTGTGTTGATTGCATGCTGAAAAGGAGGGTAGCCAGGGGCAACAGCGTGCGGTGTCCTGTCTTCTGCACGACCACCCCTTGCATCGTATCGCATCAGCCCTCTCCTGGCCATGCCAAAGCAGCAACTTACCATCGCCCTACTTGCTGCATGCAATCGTACAAGCTCACACATGTGACGTGATCTTCCCCTCGACACCTGAGCCAGAGTCACTCCACTCCACCTCCACTGACTCTTTGAGTGCACCCTCACCCTTCCCCGGCAGATCAAGCTGTATGACTTGTGCCTGCGCCATGCAAGCCCACTCCATGCCTTCATCGCCTTCATCGATGTTGACGAGTTCCTGGTGATGGCATCGGCCGAGCGCGCAAGGGGGCTGCCAGGCCTGCTCAAGGAATTTGAGCAGCACGGCGCCCTGGCGGTGAACTGGAGGCTGCTGGGCCCGGGAGGTCGGTGGCTAGGGTACTGGATGGGGACGGAGGCCTGCAGAGGGGGGCAGGTGTGTGTTGTGAGTAAAGGAGTCTTCCCTTCCAGGAAACAAGTAGATGGTTTTGAGGCCAAATGTCTCGCTGGATCAGATGGATTTCATTGCACTCATCCTATTGTGCATCGTGTTTCATGGAGCGGCTTACTTGCCAAGACCTGCACAGACTTTGAGCAGTGCTTGGCTTGTTGCTGTAGGACAACTACCCAGATCTCAACCCCGCAAACCCACATGCACTCACTACAGGCCATGCGATCCAGCCAGGGGGGGGAGTCCTGCAGAACTTCCTGGCATGCACGCCAGTACAATACCCTGAGAATCGACATGTGCGTATGATCCCTCGCGTCTGGGGCCTGGGCGGCGGTGGGAGTAAGGGCAAGGACACTCGATATGTCGGACACAGGCGCTGGTTTGTGTCCACTGCCTTGATTCCCATGCACATCGTTGGCGTCAATGACGCTCTCGTTTGCAAGGTCGCACAGAGTGCCAACATACCTACACCACTCTCCCCCACATGCCACAGATAAAGTCTATCGTTAATACCAAATTTGTGAGGGGCACCAGCTCGGACCCCCACCACTTTGAGTATGCAGCGGGGGCGAGTGCTGTGACCCTGGCAGGGGAGCAAGTCACTGAGGCCATGTCGGCCACGGTCTCGTGAGCTGGGTGTGGGAGGGCGGAGGGGTGTGCAGCCAGGGCGCTTGCGGGGAGGTGTGAGCGGACTTGGATGCTCAAGACTGCCGCTCCCTCTGGCAGTGGAGTCCATGCCTTGGCAAGGAGAGGCGATGCAGAGTGTGATCCCATCAAAGCACCAGGCCATCGGACCTCAACCAGGCATTGATGCCTGCACCGCTGTGAAGCGTGACCGCCTGGCTCTGTGAACCCTCGCAGGGGCGATCGCATGATGCTCTACCACTACGCCACGAAGAGCATGAGCCAGTATAGTGGCAAAATGGTGAAAGGTGAGTCTGTATCCAGCCGATGGGAGATGCAGTCGCAGGATGGGGAATCTTGACGCATTGAAGGGCACCAGAATAGTCACCTGCCACCGAATGGAGTCCCACTGCACAGCCTGGAATGTGGATGTGGGTCCAAACATTCTGTCAGTCACTCGGCCAGGTCTCTGAAATCGTGCCCAGCCCTCCTCTTCCAATCTTTCCCAACAGGGTCCGGCATGGGTAACCGCAAGGGGGCCGAGTTCCTCACGCGCATTGACGGTGCCAGTACGGAGATCTGCACAGACGCACTCACCAGCTGCAAGGAGCTGGGCATGGAGGCATGTGCAAACGTGACACTCCCTGTGGGCACCGCATAGGAACACTCTCGCCTGGCCCCATTCCCACACCACCCTCAGCGCTATAATCCTTGTCAGCAGATATGGCTGGCTTGATTTCACGGTACATGTAGGATAGTACGCGTTCCAGTCCTCGAAAAGGGAGTTTCAGGCTTTGGGTCGAATAGGAAGTAGTCGCATTATGACGTGGCTGGGCATGCATGAAGCTCAGGACGGGGGAAAGGACGGGGACGATAGTCTCATCCCCCGCCACAGATTTATGCCTCCTGCAGTAAACATGCATTCAACTTGCTAGCCTCTATAAGCTTCGTCCCTTGATCTCCCGCTGCGGCACCTCGGAGGGCAGCCTATGTGCGGGGCTTCGCACCAGCTATCCGCGGAGAGGTGACCGTGAATTCCTCAATACGATCACAACCGCACGGCTTGCACCCTGACACCCACCTATACAATGTTTATCTGCACCAGCATGAGCCTGGCATCGAACGTCCTGCAGGTAGGCGCAAGCTTGTCAGGTCTGCGAATCGGGGGAGGGCATGTGCGTTCGGGATTCCACCAGGTCCAGGCGCATGTGCTGCCATGACCAGGTGCATGGGGACCCCGCAGGCGGCGGCATGTCCCCTGAAAGTACAGACGTCCTGGATTCCATCTCGACGTCCGCGGATGGCCGCGCGGATGGGAAGCAGGGACGGGGGCCCCGCAGCCTCCAGGCTGGAAGCTCCGACCACGGCCAAGCAGTCTCACAGGCACGAGTGGGTAGGAGGCTTGGGTCCTGCCTGTTCAATGCCCCTGACACCTTCATCACAGCAATCTGGGACTGGTTACACTACATGTGCCCCCTCAGCTCATGCCCATGCCGGTTGGTCCTCCAGGTCCTCAGAAGAGGGACGCCCAAGCACTCCAGCTGACGCTGGCGCGAGCTCTGGGAACGGCAGCAGCTCAGGGATGCCAGAGCATCTGGAGGACACAGAATCTGGAACAGAGGCCGAGGCCGAGGAATTTAAGTCCAATGCCGCGATCCTGGCGGCGGTAGGCCTGGTCAGTGTGGCAGGCGCGGGCTTCTACTTTAAGGATCAGATCTGGTGCGCGCTGGGGGATGATGGTTGGATGGATCCCGGGGGTGGGGGTGCGTCTGTGGCGTTGGTCTAAATTCGGATGCACCAAAAAGCACAATGCCACCTCCTGACAGACTCAACCTCCCCTGTACCTGCGCGTCGCCAGGGTCTCGCTGGAGTGGTTCACCGGCGTGATTGATGCCATGGGACCCGAGGGCTACCTAGTGTATGTGGCAGCGTATGCCCTGCTCGAGCTGGTGGCAGGTGCGCAGGGCAGGCGCAACCTTGCTCAAAGGCTGAGTGCATCTCATGACAATCGCCATTGCTAATCGCCAGCCTCCCCACCGCCCTCAGCGCACCTTACCGCTTTCTATTCTATCTACGCATGCTCACCCCTCCCCCTCCACCGCGCGCTCCCGGGCACCACTCCCTCCTGTGCCACCCTCACCCTTCCCCACCGTCACCCCCCCTCCAATGTGCAGTGCCCGCCATCCCATTGACAGTGGCTGCCGGCGCCCTCTTTGGCCTGTGGCCCGGGGTGGCCACCGTCTCCCTGGCCGCCTCCATAGCCTCCACCACCGCCTTCCTCATCGCGCGCTACCTGGCCCGCGACCGGGTCAGTGCCATGGCCTCCAAGAACAAGCAGTTTGCGGCCATCGACCGTGCCATCGGCAAGGACAGCCTGCGCGTCGTGACCCTGCTCCGCCTCTCCCCACTCCTCCCCTTCTCCGCCAGCAACTACCTGTACGGCCTCACCTCCGTGGACGTGGGGTCCTACATGCTGGGCAGCTGGATAGGCATGCTCCCAGGTGAGGGGAGGGGGAGGGGGGTGCTAGGGAAAGGGGTGACATAGGCAAAGCTGCGGCGCAGCGTTCAGGGCCCCATGGTGACGTGCCCGGCCAGCGTATGTTACCTGAGCCTGGACTGGGTCTACCAACCCCCTGTGCAATCTGCTGCCAGTGGTTTGCGTGAACCCCACCCCCCTCCCCCTCGCCGCACGCCCAGGCACGTTTGCGTATGTGTCGGTGGGCGCGTATGGGAAGGACCTGGCCTCGGGGCACGGAGTCGCGCCGTGGCAGGTCAGTGGGTGCACCAGGGGTGGTGTGAGGTGGTGCATTGTGGGCTCGCAAGGGAGTGGAAAAGGCTCTGAGCCGCCCCCAGCGTCCCCATCCATGACAACCCCTCCCTTGCCAAGGCGCTCCCTGCACGTCATGCTACTGCTCAGGTGGCGCTGGGTCTCGGGGCCACTGCAGCCACCATCTGGTATGTAGGCGGCCTGGCATCAAAGGCCCTGGCCGATGTGGAGGAGGAGGAGGAGTCCGGCAAGAAGGAGAAGAAAGCATGAAGCGCAGACCCCAGTGCTCTGTACAGTAGCCCATCGCCCAATTTTGGATGCACCAGGACTCTTGTAGATACCTTTCACAGAATGCTTGCATGTGCTTGGAGCGAGGAGGCGGCGGGTCACAGTTGCCGTCGTTGGGTTCTCATAGGGCAGGCACACTCATGGCCCACTGATGAACTCTTGAGGCAAGGATGAAGGCAGACCAGGTCTGGATCCCCCCCTGATGCACAGCTCCGTGCTTTGGCAGTGTGTTGACAGTGACACAGGTTTGATATCCGGGAGGATGTATGGGGCTTGTGGGTCAACATGGCCTGGGGGGGTCTGGCTGTTGAGTACCTAGGGATGGCACCATCACGTCTGCTTCGCGGTTAGTGCATACATCCTCACCTGGAAATGGTACGAGGAATGTGAAGGGACAGGGTTTGTCATCCCTTTCTTCACATGGGGCACGATCAGCTATTTCACCCGCTCGCTGACAGTGTAAGCTCATAGATTCATTCCCCACTTTGCACCCTGACCGAGCCCGAGACCAGGTCCTGCCACACCACCCTCGTCACTTGCCTTGAAGAGCCCCCGTGGAAACCCGGACTGCGTGGCAGAATGTGCAAGCGTGAGGCCGCCCTTGGAGAACAGCTCCAAGTAATACTTGTGGTTCCTGGAATGGGTTTGGGGACATGTGACGAGCGAGGTGGCAGGCACGCATCCACTCACAGCATTGGGGATGCTGGTGGCAGGTCTGACATGCAAATTGCACCCATGGACCTCACCTCGTTATGCTGCAGTCGGAGCGGTCCACCACGAATCCATCTGGACAGACATTCTCCTTTACAAAGACGAAGCCGCCGGGCTTCAACGCCTTGGCACAGCGCTGGAAGAACGCGATGGCATCCTCTGCACACGCAGTTGGAACAGAGCGGGGTGATGCGTGGGGGCAGAACGAGCGTGGATCGATCCAAACTACGGCGGAAGCTGTCCCCAATCACGTGAGGATATCCCTGATCGCAGCAGGGCGCCTGCCCCAACCCCTGGCAGCTGCCTCCATCACTTCAGCCCCACCATCTGTGAGGTACAGGACTGCCCACTGCAGCCAGAGCGCGTTGTAGCGCTGGGGCTCCGGGTGGAAGGCCTCCAGCCCCTGCTGGAAGTAGTTGACTACGCAATGGCCGGGTGGGATGCCATCCTTCCCAGCTCGGCCCTCGAAGGCTGTCCGCGCCCTCTCCAGCAGGTGCGCTGAGGAGTGGACATTGGACGGTGGATTGAGAGGTGCACCCTGCACTTCTAAAGCAGCTGCGTGTGGTCTGGGGCTAGTCATAGAGCCCCAAACCTCAGCACCCGATGCCAGTGGCCCTGCCCAGTACACACCCGATGGCTCCACCAGGTCGACCTCCTGGTAGGTGTGCAGAAGCAGGGCCTGGGTCACCCTGCCGATGCCAGCTCCGCAATCTGCAAGTCGAGAAAGCGCAGCACACAGCGTTGAAGACTAGCATCTTCTCCAGTGAGATCAGCATGGGACGTAACATGCTGAAAAGCTCGATTCGGAGATGAAATTTCATTCCCCAATCGCACTGCTCGCAAAAACGTTCCGACCTGCTGCGACCAGGGGATCATCTGATACCTCACCGGGCTTAGCTCGGACCCCCAGAGCCTGGATGTACAAAGGCAAGAGAATGGATGGTGCGATCATCGTGTGTTCCAGAAAGTCGCACAGAAAGGTGCAAGCTCCCCATCCACACTGGCACCCTACAACGGTCCCCACACTCTGTGGTAACAACCCTAAGCATCCGACATTAAGTCACCTACCTTGGCCAGAAACTTCCTACTATCCACTATATCAGGGTCAGAGAGCTCTCCGAATCCCCCCAGCACGCCATCGTCGCTGGCCTCCTGGGTGTCCCAGTATCGCACCGCCTGGTCATACCACTGCGGCCCAGCCCCGGAGGACCGTGCGGCTGCGACCTCATCCCAGAACTCTTGAGGCGAAGCGTACTCCTTCGAAGAGTAACGGAAATGGCTTTGAAATATGTTTCAGAGCTCTTTGAAGAGCCTTCGTTCTTGCAAGCGGGGACCGTATCACCCCGCGCATGCTCACCTTGCCTTCGCCGTCACCACCACGACACTCCATGTTTGTGGCAGCCTCCACCCGCGCCGGATGCTCAAAGGTAAGCAGTGTTACGTCGAGAATCACTCTGGCTACTCTTCATTTATTTTCATTGCTGATGCTTGGCACTTGCTTCGAAAGTCTGATGGGTGGGTTGAAAAGTCTGATGAGCGCGCGCGAGAACGCAGCAGGCATCTCGGGGGGTCCAGCAGAGGTATCTAAACTTGGATGTCAACGCTTTTCTGGGGCCCCCTCTGACATTGCTCTAAGTGCTGCTTACAAAAGGCTAGAATCACACAAACGCCAGAGAATGGCCTGACATGTATGCATATAGGGGTGGGCATGCCCTTGCGCCAGCAAGATTATCATCAAATTGTAGTATAGGACCAAATCCAGCTGGCGGAAGGGATGCATCAGCCTCCCAAGAAATGGAAGTTCCTGAAGGGGCAAGTTTGCACAAGGTAGTATGAAAGAAGCAGTCATGGATGGAGAAGACAGCGTGACGTCATGGGGCACACCTCCACCTAGAAGCTGTTGACATGACGCAGGGGGGCATGGGCGCCATCCTGGGCAGCACCCCCGGAATCCGGCAGGGTCAGGCCCTGCTGGAGAATGTGCACCAGAACTCCCTGCTGCCGCTGCAGCTTATCAATCTGCATAGGGGCCACGAGGTAGTTCCTCAATGGCATGCAAGTGGGGGGCCCACAAGAGTTGCAGGGCACCTCCCACACACTCAGGCACACCGGGTGGGGCTCTTGATGAGTCAAGACTGCAGCGGCATCCAAGAAAGGGCGATCTGGACACGCCACGCCAGCTGGTACCAATGTCTGCCACGCAGAGAATCCCTGAAACGTGGGCCAGTCTCCACACGCATGCCAAGGTCCCCTCGCCGCCTCCCACCCACCTTGTCCTGCAGGTCTTGGTCTCGCCTGGACTTCTTGTACCTGGACACCGCAGCACTGATCTTGTTCTTTTCCCGCCGAGTCCTCCGCCTCAACTCCTCAGCGGGGAGCAGGCGGTTGGCGGGATCCTTTTGATGCGGCAAGGGGTGACAGGGGGTATTATCACTGAGTCCACCTGTTTGCAGCTCAGGCCCCCCGCCCATGGACCACAGCATGCCTTCCTGTGTCCAACTCCAGGTCCCGGATGCATGTGTGAGACATCCACCGGTCTCATGGACAACAAGTTCCCAATTACCTGCATCAGACGGACGAGCACCTCGCTCGTGGTGGGTTCCACCATGCCGTCTGCCAGGTGGACATCCCTGACCCAGCAGGAATTTGGGGGGCAGGCATACTCAGCTTAAGGCTCAAACATGTGGGTAATCCACAGGATGACGGCAGGGGTTGGTCGTAAGTGCTGCTTCCTAGACTTCTGAACAATCTCAGCCCCTCAATCTCAACCCCCCTCCATCCCACACCCCCGCCCACCTGGCTTGCCGTGGCCGCCCCCGCTTCCTGCCATCGCCCTGGGGCCCCAGTACCTCGCCCATCCACCGGTCCAGGCTGGCGGTGCTCCAGCCCAGCTCCTGGGCCAGGCTGCGACAGGAGGCCTCGTAGCTCCAGTCCTGGGTGAAGCTGAGCAGCGCCGCCTCCTGCTTCACGGCGACGCCAGAGGAGAGGCCCGGGCTGGAAAGCGGGGCCGGGTCGTCCACATCCATGGAGGAGGATGTGCCTGCCTGGTCCGGGGACGCCTGTTCATGGAGGTGTGTGGGGTGGGGTGGGGTGGGGGGTGGAGGGGGGGGCGCGCTGCCTGTACAAGCTTCATGATCGAGGGTAGGTGAAAGCTTATCAGGGTCGAGGGACTCAACAGTCTGCAACATGTCCCCCGCCCACCCACCGATCTCCTAGCCCCACATCCGCCTCTGCAAGGGCGGTATGCAGCAAACCCCCTCACAGCAGCCCCCACGCACCGCTCTGGCTGGAGCGAGGCTGCGCATGGGCCGAGGGCCAGCAGGCTTGAGGACGGCAGGTCGCACCGTCACCTGCCACCCCGCCTCGTCTTCAGCCTCGGGCCGGGGCGGCGGCGCGGCCGCGGCCGGGTCCCTTAGGACATCACTCGGCGCCGTCGCGCCGACGGGTTCCGCCCCACCGCCCGCCGGCGCCGCGCCGGCGGCCTGGGCCAGCACCAGCTGCGTCAGCGACACGCTGCGTGCGCTCTGGCCAGGGCTGGGCGGGGCGGGGCTGCCCGTCGACTCTGCCGCGGCCGCGGCCGCCGCCACGCGATCGGAAAGGGCCTCGGGGGGTGCCTTTTCCGTACTGCCACTCTGCGCCCGGCGCGTCTTTGCCACGCGCGAGGGCGGGGGCGGCGCCCTCTGCCACCGGGATACCAGGGGACCCATGCCCCAGGGCACGAGGGGCTCTGGGGGTCGAGGCGCGTAGTCCGTCAGCCGCAGCATCCCTGGCCCACCGGAGTGGCCGCGCGGCGCCGGGTCCTGGGCGCCCGGCGTCGTGCGCTCTGCGGGAGCTTCGACGCGGGGCGAGGAGTCGCCGGTCGCCGCGAGGGCGCGTGGGTCCCTGGGCGGCACGCTCGCCGCCGGGGCACCGGGGGCCCCGCCGCCCGCTCGCCCCGCGCGGGCCGGCAGGCCCACCACCCGCCCCTCCAGCACGCGCGAGCGGCGTACGGCCCCCTCCCGGTCGGCGAGCGTGAGGGAGAGCGCGTGCGGGGGCACCCCCCCGACCATCATGCTGCCTGTGGCGGTTCGCAGGAGCGGGGAGGGGGCCCCCTCTGGCGGGAGGGCGGACGGAGCTCGGCCAGTCGCCGGCAGGTGGCCGGACGCGGAGTATCCAGCTGCCGGCAGGTGGCCGGACGCCGACTGCTCGGACGCCGACAGGTAGGCCGGCGCCAGATGTCCGGCTGCAGGAAGGTGGCTGGATGCGGAGTATCCAGCCGCCGGCAGGTATGCCGCGTGCCCGACCACGGGCGACGCCGCGGGCGCCAGCGCCTGAGCCAGACTGCCCGGTTCCGCCGCTGCCAGCGGATGGGCTGCATGACCTTGCATGGAGACTGCGACGGCCGGCCCCGCCGGGGGCTGGGTGACGGAGGTACTGCGCGGGCTGATGCTGGCGGCGGGGATGAGGCCGATGGCCTCCGCTGTGTCCTGCAGCGTGCGCAGCCGCCGCCCGCCGGAGCTGGAGGAACGCGGAGCCGATTCTGGGGACGCGGACCGTGGGCCCCCGGGTCCGAGGGGCGCCGGCGCAGCGCCTGGGTCTCGGACAGGCTCGGGCAGGGGGGAAAGGGGGGGGAGGGCGCCCTGCTGGGCCTCCGTCTCCACGGCCCACTCCCGCATCTGCCCCGCCAGCAGCGCAGTCAGGCTCGGCTCCTGCAGGAAGGCCATCAGGTTGCCGCTGCCCTCCTCGCATCCCAACGAGCGCGTGGGGCTGTGGGAGGAGGGGGTCGGGGGGGGGGGGGGGCATGGCGACGGGGGAGAGGGTGCCTGGTGACACACAGCCTCTGGTACTACTGTGGTGTGTGCTTTGGTCAGCAGGGCTCAGTGTCTCCTCGGCCCACTCGGTGAGTCCCCGCCCATTTGTCAAGCATGCCCACTCCGTCAGGCAGTTGATGAGACAGCACTGTGATTTGCATGCCTTGTCAAGGTGGATTCTCCAACTTCTTAAGCACGCATTTTACCTGAGGTTTGCGCGGAGGAGCTCGTCCAGGACATTGTCGGACGTCAGGTGGCGGAGGTGGGCGTCTGGCACGGATGGAGGAGGGCCGGCGGGGGCCTCCTCTGGAATCGAGAAAAAGGAACCTGGAGGAGATGCAAGGAGAGGGGCCGCTGAGTGGAGTGGGGAGGAACGCACGCCCGGAAGTCCCCCATTCCCGGAAGAGCTGGGCAGGGGCACCTGCACCGCATCTCAGACCAGAGAGGTCGCCCCCCCCTGTCTGACCACCGTGTCTTCTCGTCCCGACTCGCAACATGCAGATTTCATCATTATGTGAACGGAACACGCACCTGCCGTCCTCTCGCCCAGCAATTCCTGCCAGTCTGCGCTCCCTAATGTGAGGTGCCGCAAGGGGCCCCGTGGCCCAATTGTCATAGCAGGAGTGTCTGACGCTCACAGGCGAGGCCCAAAGAGGCTGCCACGCATTCTATATCCAGTGGATGCGGTCGCAGAGGAGGTTGGCCGGGATGTGCGGGTTGCGACAGCACTCGGCCTTGAAGGTCCAGACCCTCCACACTGCAGGTCCGGAGGGGGGCCTCAGCTTGTATGACAAAGCCCAAATTACACCGTCCTGCACTTTAATAGGCATTAGATCTCGCATAAAGGGCGTCTACTCCTGTGCAGTGCTCGCATCGCCATCCTCTCGCAGCAGTGTCGGGCAAGTGCTCAAAAGGGGGGAATCCCGGGTCGAACGGAGTTTTCCGCGTGCTGGGTCGGTCCGGGAGCCTTTCCGAGAGAGAATCCACGCGCTCCAAAACAGCAATATCGGAAGGGCAAATGCGCTCTTGGATCGGAAACACAGGAAGTTCTTTCCAACGCGCTCTTTTCTGTCCTCCATTGGGTCCCGCCATACAGCGCCGTGCCTGTGCTGCAATACCTGGAGGAAGAAGTTGACCATGCGCTTCCTCGGAAGCTATGCCAAGTACGGTCCAGGGATCAACGACCCGAGCTCTATTGGCTTAGATGCAGATAGTATGGCCAGATCGGACTCCGTGGGAGACAGAGATGAGTGCATCGCCTCCCGCAGAGTAGGCGCAGATCACTTGTGCAGCACACCCACCTCGACCACCACCTCCCACTCCGTGGGTAGAAGGAGCGATTAATATTATGACCAGACCAACTCTTCCTTTCGAAGCAATTCGTGACCCTCGGATCCGCCCTATGCACCCGCAGGAGTCGGCGGTAGTTGACGCCGGGGCTCCTTCCGAGCGGTCGGGGCCGTCGCTCGCCGCCGCACGGTGCGAGTGGGAGGCTCGAAAGAGGAGGACCCACAGGGGCGAATCTGCCACTCCTCGCTTCGGGATGCCTTGGAAATCACAACTTGATCGAATAGAGAATCAGGTCATCGCTGAAATGGACAAACTGCAGCAGCTGGGCGCGACACTCAGGCGACCGCCAACAGTGACGTCTAAAATGAAGACGAATCGATGTGACAGCGAGCAGTGTCCCCCTCCACAACCGACAGGCATGATGCAAAGGCCCAGAGTGGATCCAGTTGCTCGGCACAGGTGGGCGACGGTGCCGGTGTGCGGGGCGATGGGGTTGACAGGCCAAGTTACTCTCTTAACACTGTGCATGCTGATCTCAGCTAGGTCCTGTACTCTTTCCTGGGTTGTTCGGTCAGGAGGATGGTGAAGGCAGCATCGGAATGTGATCCATGTACACTCCCTGCCCCATCCAGGGAGCTGGAGATGATCTGGGCAGCAGACCCATTTCTGACCGCTGGTGGTCATGAGCGCCGAGCTCGGCGGCCCCTCCAAGGCTACTCAGAATACTTTGCGGGGCTGCATGGTGCAGTTTGACCTTGAGTGACACTCCCTGTCAGCCACACAACCCTCATCGTCGCTGGTGGTTGTACTCAGGACTGATCGTGGCAGCCACATGCAATTGTTGTTGAAAATGGGAGGACGACAGGGCTTACGAATGTTGCAGAAGGCTGTACACCTTGGACTTACACTGCAGTTTCACGAAGGTGTAGGAGAAGCACAGCAAGAAGCAAGGATGTGAGCAGGGGAATGGAGCATTGGCAGGCAGAGGATGTACAATAGCGCTAAGCAATCCCCTGGTCATCGATACCAAAGGTACATAATAAACAGGACAACAGCAAAGACTCCACCGTAGAGGATGTAGCTTCGTCCCTGGGGTCCATTCATTACCTGCAAGTCACAGACGCAGTACAATGTGGAGCGTTGTTGATGTCGTAAGCCCGGCTTGCAAGCACCGGGATCCCTTTCATTCCACAATGCCCCGCAACATCAAGCTCTCACCTGCTTAAACTTGTTGGCAGATGCTCTCAGGCCCAGCTGTATCCCGCTCATGCTCATTGACTGCAGAGTGGGGAGGATGGTGCAAGAGCGTGAGCTGCAAAGGTAACAGCTGGAAGACCATGTACCTCGTACATATCTGTATACAAACCTCGAGGCCATGTCAGCACATCACTGTGCCAATGTGTGGCCTCTTGTCGTTCCTCACCATGTTATCAAGCACAGTATGGTGTTCTTCCACCTCTGCATGAATGCCGCTTGTTATCTGCGGAGGAAAGCATGTGTTGGGAATCTGGCGGGGCTCACACCTCAGAGAACTGGGCCTGCCGCTCAACCTCCTCCAGCAGAAACTGCGAGTCCCACTCACATTCCTCAGCATGCCTACGCGATCCCCAAGGGCTGCAATGTCGCGATCATTCTCCTTCTCGAGGGACTCCGGATCCACAGCCTGCACGGGACGCCGTGAATGCTGAAGTTTTGGCGTACAACGACCGAAACCCCACCAGCCCAGCGGTGTTGGTGAGGCCCCCCTCACCTGCGGGGCAGAGCTCGCTCCAAACAGAGGGGCCCGACGATCTCTGCGTGGATGAGAATAGATAAAGCATTATTTGAGGAGGAGATGGACACATTGCTCTTGCACTGCTGACCCTGAAGGCAGTCTTGATAGTCCTGCTACCGCGAGACCAGCCCGAGACTTGCCTGGCGAGCGACGACATCCCGAAACTCGATCTCACATGCCCGAGCCAGATCGACGAAGACAATTTTAGGACGAAGGGACTCGCACGAAGCCCTTGGATGTCTGTCGTGGAGTGTACTGGGTTTTCGACCACGCAGGTCCACGTGGGAGACTCGGCAGAGTTGCAGCCGGTTACAATCGTTGCGAAGGCACCGTGGACAATTCTTCCAAGCGCCTTGGAGTGTGGAATGAAACATGTGCTGGGCCTACCAAGAGCAGTGTAAGTGCTGACCCTGACTAGAAGATCAGTACGGGTGGAAAAAGGACAAAGCAATGAGCAAGCTTGGCGCTCCTCTTCAGGGCACTGCCGGCCCATACCAGCAACCCTTCTCCTTTGCTGAGACCCAGCAGGGAGCAGCGGGAACCTTGATCCCAAGCAGCTTTCGGAAGTCGGGGGCAGGGAGGCATCCATGGGGATCCCCCATCCCCCCCTCCCACTGCTGCTGCAGGTTGTCCCGCGCCAGCGTCGGGCAGGACAGCAGGATCATGCCCACGACCAGCGCGACCTCCGCCTCCGCAAAGTAGCGCCCTGGACACCTGTACAGGCACGGACCGGGATGCAAACTCCAGTCAGACTGTCAGGCGGTAAGGACGCCGAGCACAGAGGCAATGGCCGTCCGCATCCATGTGCCCCTAAATCTCGGCCCGGCTCCCCCTCACCTGTACTTCCCGCCCCCGAATGCAAGGCCCGCCACCCCGCCGACGCCCAAGATGCTGGAGTGCAGTGCCGTCTTCCCGCACAGGAGCATGCCCTCCCGGTCCGGATTGTAGTGCCGGGCATCCGGCCCATACAGCCTCTCGTCGCTGTGGCTCTCAAAGGGGGATGTGGCCAGCACAGACCCCTGTCGCGGTGGGCCACGGCAGGCATTGGGTGAGATGAAGCGGAGTCGGGCGGCAGCAGGGGGCCTTGCATGGAACATGACCAGTGCCCCATGACGGGTCAGGGAGCAGGAGGTGCACCCCCGCCGCCGCGGTGGGGCAGAGACCTTGCAAACTGTGCCAGCGGCCCAGGCGCTGCCGGCCCAGGCGCCAGCGCGATCGCTGTCGTCTGCTGCCCCCGGCACCTCACGGGGACCAGACCCGAGCAGATCCCACCACCCAGCACCCACCTTCTCAAGCAGCAGGCCCTCCCGGCCTGGGAGTCGGAGCATCACGTCCGAGGCCGCGATCCGCACGTCGATGGAGGGGGCCCGCAGCCGGATGGTCTCCGCGATGCACTTGTTTAGCGCGCTACTCCGGGAGCAGGCCAGGTCCACCAGGCTGGCCGCGGGGTCGGTGCTGGAGCGCGTCGCATGCAGCTCCGCCTCCACGCGCTCCCGATATGCAGCATTCTCTGGGAGCAGCAGGAACGCAAGCGTCCAGAAGGCCGTGGGAGTGGCGTTCGCCTGCGTGCATGTGGGGGGAGTGACGGGTCAAGAGGTTGGCGGGGGGGGGGATGCTGGGCATGCGGAGAAAGTCATCAGGCCCAGTGGGCGTAGGAGCCCCTCCATGCTTCGATTAGACATCGCGGGCTTGCGACCCGGCGCGAGGCTCTATGAAATCAAGCTCCCAACCCATCGCTGCCTTGGGATCGCCCAGGTTCATCCCCTTCTCCTCACCTGAGACGCCCACATGAAGCACAGCATCATGTTGGGTGTGCAGCTGTCGGGCAGCTGCACGTCATCAATCAGCCTCTTCACCACCGTCCCCTTGCCGATGCTGTCCCTGAGCAGCGCTTGCCTGCAAGGAGCGAGGATGGAGGGGGGCCAGCTGGTCAGTTGGGTCTGAGGTGGTGCCTGCTCTGCCGGCTGTGGGTTCAGGCTGGCTGCCAGTCATGGCCTCTGGGACCTCACACAGGCTGGCCACCGCTGGCAAGCCCATCTCCAGCGATGGACCAGGGCCACCACGCTCACCGGAACGTCTCCACCAGCCTTGATCGGGCCCGGAGGAAGGGCCACTGGAGGCAGAGTGGCACCGGCGAGGCAGCCATCTCGAAACCCGACTCAAAGGTCTGGAAAGACTGCAGCAGCGAGGCGACGTCGACCTCCTCAAGGAAGCTGGACCCAAAGAATGTGCTCACCGAGCTGCGGAAAGTGATGTCCTGGATATATTTACAGAGATCGACCTGGGGGTCGGTGCTGGAGCGCGTCGCATGCAGCTCCGCCTCCACGCGCTCCCGATATGCAGCATTCTCTGGGAGCAGCAGGAACGCAAGCGTCCAGAAGGCCGTGGGAGTGGCGTTCGCCTGCGTGCATGTGGGGGGAGTGACGGGTCAAGAGGTTGGCGGGGGGGGGGATGCTGGGCATGCGGAGAAAGTCATCAGGCCCAGTGGGCGTAGGAGCCCCTCCATGCTTCGATTAGACATCGCGGGCTTGCGACCCGGCGCGAGGCTCTATGAAATCAAGCTCCCAACCCATCGCTGCCTTGGGATCGCCCAGGTTCATCCCCTTCTCCTCACCTGAGACGCCCACATGAAGCACAGCATCATGTTGGGTGTGCAGCTGTCGGGCAGCTGCACGTCATCAATCAGCCTCTTCACCACCGTCCCCTTGCCGATGCTGTCCCTGAGCAGCGCTTGCCTGCAAGGAGCGAGGATGGAGGGGGGCCAGCTGGTCAGTTGGGTCTGAGGTGGTGCCTGCTCTGCCGGCTGTGGGTTCAGGCTGGCTGCCAGTCATGGCCTCTGGGACCTCACACAGGCTGGCCACCGCTGGCAAGCCCATCTCCAGCGATGGACCAGGGCCACCACGCTCACCGGAACGTCTCCACCAGCCTTGATCGGGCCCGGAGGAAGGGCCACTGGAGGCAGAGTGGCACCGGCGAGGCAGCCATCTCGAAACCCGACTCAAAGGTCTGGAAAGACTGCAGCAGCGAGGCGACGTCGACCTCCTCAAGGAAGCTGGACCCAAAGAATGTGCTCACCGAGCTGCGGAAAGTGATGTCCTGGATATATTTACAGAGATCGACCTGGTGGGGGGGGGGGGGGGGGGGGGGGGGTCCCCACGGGGGACGGAGTCAGCGGGCCCGTGGCCATGGCGGCGAGCTCGGGCAGCACAGCGGCATGGTACCCCCCCCATGCTACTCCGCACCCTACCCGGCCACGCAGGGGGTTGACCTCCAGCTCCCGGCGCAGGAAGGAGTGAAGGGGGTGGAGTATGTTTGGGAGCGTGCCTGGGACCAGCTGCCACCGCAGTGTGCGCAGCATGAGCCCGTGCTTGCCAACAAAGTGCTGAGGAGGAAGCCCGAAGACCCGGTCCGTGAACTGTGGGGATGGGGAATGGGCCATGAATTGGAAAAGGGGCGAGAGTGCAGCCATTTGCCAAAGGCGGGAGACCGACAGGCCAACCCCGTGCCCTTGGGCACAATGCAGCCCAGCAGTTTGCGCCAATGGGGAATGGTTGGTTCCCATGGCCCCCATCCAGCACAACTTCTGAGTATGCACAACCGGACTCCAGTCTCCATGACAGGCTGAAACTTCATGAGCCGGGAGCCAACATGCGCACCTGTTGTACAGCGGGTCCAAAGCTTATTTGATCCTCTGGGGCCGTGAAAAAGGGGGCATATGCCTCGGGTGCCAGGAGCCAGGTCATTTTCTGACCGAGCACCCTGAGGGTGAACACGTCCCCATACTGCGAGGGACAACATGATGGAAGCAAGGTTCAGTTCCTCTGTCTATGGCACCAGTAATCGCTCGCCATAGGGTTGCGGGCGGTGTGCCATGAAGCCCGTCGCAGGTGGGTGTCAGCGACGAAAATCCACATGAAACCGCACCGCACCCGTACCTGTGCGTGACAGGCAGCGATAAACTTTGAACCTCTCCGACCCAGTGCCAGAACACTCCCGAGAAGGGGAAGCCCAGGAATAATTGGCGGTTGTGGGAGTCCGGGAGACCCTCGGAGGCGAGAGGTCCACGCGACAGCCAGGCCCAGCAGCAAGCAGGCGAGGGCGGCGATGCACCCTCCCTGCTCGACCTCAAGCCAGACTGTCAGCAAGAACATCCTCCATGACTGAAAAGAATTGGACTTCATTGCTGCTCCGCTGTAGTAAGGGGTCACCCGTGCGAAATCCGTGAGAATCTTAGCTGGGGTCTCTGGGCAACGGTACGTTGCGCCTTATGCATAACACCCACGTCCAGGGGTCGACCTTTTCAGTCCATCAAATCGTATTGGTTCAGCTGCGTTGGCAACTCCTTATGGGCATCGTGGCCTCCTCAGGCTCCGGCTTCCGCTGCGGACACTCGTCATTCCCCCTCCTCTTTCGGGAGCGGTACGTGGCGTGGCTCCTTGGGAGTGAGAGGCACCTACCCCTGGCTAGCTGTACCGCACACACACTGTACTGCGTTGCAACACCTTAACCTGGTCATTCAGTGAGCATCCTGCTGGTATGGCGTAGGTATTGCTACAGACCGGTTCCGAGAGAGCCTTAGGGCAGGAAGCCCTCGTACCTGCGCCACCTTCGGCCTGTCCGCGCTGCTGTTACACTTGGTTTCGGAACACGATCATCGACCACACCGCTGCTCCGTCCTTGAGACCTTCTCTCCTTCTCATGTTGAGCCGGCCTTGTATCTCGCTGTGCAGTTCTCAGCGCTTGCACACCTGCGTCGCAGTCCTGAGAACCCCGCTCGCCGCCCCCCGCCCTGCCAGAAGAGACACCTCTTGCCGAGACTCGCCGTCACCTTGCGAGAAACTCGTTCGTCGTAACAACTCAATAACGTCCGCCGTCGACTCCCGGTTTGGACACGCCCCTTCCTCCGCCCGCACCCGAGACTCGCCTCCGTGACCACCGTTGCATCATTGCGATCCGAGCTGCCGACTTTCTGGCGGATGCCCTCGAGGCAGACGACGTGGACACTATGCTCATACAGAAGTACTCCGATGCCGACCACCCCACCACCTTCGTCTCCTGCCCCCCTCCTCCCCTCTGGATTTAAGTTTGCGATTCACGAACCCGAGGCCGCCGCTGAGTACGCCTCAACTCACGGCGGCCCTGCATCGAGAGCGCCATGTCCTGAATAGTGTTCCCCACTGATCACCAGGCTCTGAAGTGGCTGCTTACAATGAAACCCAATAAGGAGGCCGCCCTCCCTCTCTGGGTAACATCTCAGAGATGCTTGACATACAGAATGCCGCCAGCGCTGCGCCTGATGCCCCATCCTGCAGCTCCGACCGCCACCTCCTGGACTTCCGACATTGGTGACTTCATTCCTGTCCTGATCTACCCGGGGGACTCATCAATCGTCAGGCTACCTGCACCATGCCCTCCACCATCACCAATTCCTCTTCCCAGTGTCTCCTGGAGGAGGGCCGATTTCGTCGCAAGGACTCCAACGCATTGTATGAGCCCAAGGCCAGCGACCTCTGCCACTGTCTCCTCAAAGGTATCGACAAGCCGGGCTTTGCTGGGAAGCCGCGGTGCAATGGTACATAGGAGTTTTGGTGGCAGGCCTACACCTGTCCTGGCCCCGCCAGGGTGCAACGGATGCCTCTGATCTCCTCAGTGTCCCTGTTGAATGGGTCCAGCTGCGTTTACAAATGCCGCTTTCATCGTTGCTTCCTGGGGCTCGCCATTTAGTGCATGCTGAAGACGGCATGGTGCACCCATGCACCTGGCTGAGGGGTATATATGGCATCCTGTGCTCCATTGCAACACCTTGTCCTCGCCATTCCAATAGGCTGGAGTTTGGCTGACCAAAAGAAGGTCACAACCCGGTTGTAAAGGGCGTGTAGGGCAGAAAGACGAGTACGTCACCTTCCCGACATGGGCGGGGATGGCGAGGTGACGGGGATGGCGAGGTGACGGGGATGGGAGAATTGCGGAGGTAACCACGCCCAGTATTCGATTCAGATATCATCAGCCAAAGTATTCGCAAGAATGTACGATTGTAACACAGCGTCAGCTCCAACTCCATTGCTGGGACATGCCTCAGGGGTTGTGAGTGCGAAGAGCGGCATGAATGCCTCCCTCCTCTTCCGAGCCTCTGCTCTGAGGAGAGGGGCCCCTGGCAGAATCGCGCATCGCCATGCGCGCACAGTTTGCCAGTCATCGAACCTGAAGACCCAACAGACGCTGGTGTGGAGTGCAGGGACCCCCAGGAGGCATCTGACGAGTGCGGCCTGCATGGCACGCGAGCGTGCCTCCCTGCTTCATGCAGACCTTCGCCCCGCTCACCGCGTTGCCGAGTGTCGTGCTTCCAGTTGTGTGCAGTCTCACACAGGCTTTCGTGTCGTGCGGGCATTCCAAGCCGCCGACCACGGGCGTGCACTGCCCTGATTCCCCCCATGCACTCCATCCCCAGGTATTTGTGCCCCCCCACCCCCTCGTGTCCCACTGGGTGGCCGTGGCGCGCAACGCTGCCAGCCCGCCCCCCATGTTCCGCGCTGCGCTGGCCGAGCTGGGCCGCCTCCTCATCTACGAAGCCACCAGGGACTGGCTGCCCACCCTGGAGGGCAGTGTGGCGACGCCATGCGGCACCGCAGAAGTGACGTTCATCGACCCCGGGCAGCCCGTGAAGGTGGGATCCTGCGAGTGGCCGGGCCTTCCCGAGGCCCTGCAGCTGCCCCTGGCTGTGTTAATCGCTCCTGGAGGGGCGGTGGACTTTGGCAACCGAGAAATGAACAGCTGGCTGCTGCTGCCAGGGTTATCATGTGCAGACCCCCACAACCATTACGCCAGGTGGTGCCCATCCTACGGGCCGGCCTGACGCTGCTGGAGAGCGCGGCGACCCTGCTGCCCTCCTCCCAGACCTTCCACGTGGGGTACCGCCGTGACGAGGAGACGCTGGTCGCCACGCCCTACCTCAACAAGCTTCCCGCCAGCTTCACACCCGAGGACCGCATCCTTGTCACAGACCCCATGCTGGCTACAGGCAAGGCAGCAAGGCATGGGAATGGGGAAATGGGGGGATAGAGGGGCCCATTCCCCACCCCCTGCGCTCAATCCCGGGTGTCCCCATCCCACAGGAGGCACGATGCGGCAAGTGATCCAGGATCTGGTGGATCGGGGGGCGGCGCCCGGCATGATCCGCATCGTCAGCGCTGTCTGCGCCCCGCCGGCCCTCAAGCTCCTGGCCGACAAGTTTGTGGGCCTCAAGATATACACTGGTGAGGGATGGAGGGCAGTGCGCGGCGGCACAGGAAGTGCTGCGCCACGTGTGAGGAGGGACAGCATAGCAACCCAGGGTCAAACAATGTCAGTGCCTGCCTGTATGGGCGGCCGCCACTGTCTGATCAGACCCCCAGGTGCTGCTTTGGCCGAGGGAAGGGGAGCGGATGTGGGGCAGTCTGATGCTGACGTAGAGCTCTGCCGCCGTCAAATTGTGAACGGATCCCTCCCCCACAGGTATCATCGACGCCGAAGTGAATGAGCAGGGGTTCATCATCCCTGGTCTCGGAGATGCTGGGGACAGGGCATTCGGCACATGACAGATTGACATTCTACGATGCTGCGTTGTTTTCCTCATTCCATGTCAATCGTGCCTGTAGGTAATACTGGGGTTTGCGACGGGATTGCCGCACACAAACTTGCGCCTTGCCACATCTGTGAAGGACACGCTGAAGGAAGCCTGCCCGGCAACACTCCTGCTCTTCGCATTGGTTCACTGAAGAATGCGCTGCGGTTGTTGACCTTGGAAGAACCCTTCTTAACATGTGAGGGGCAGAGGTTCAGGGAGAGGCATGCAAGGACAAGCACACATCGAATTCTTGGCTGCAGTGGGATCGGCCTGCATCCATGCTGGGCGTTATGGCGCACTCACCATCGCAGTGCGGTTGATGCTGCAGTATGCACTGGAAATGTGATCCCCGTGAAGAACAGCCAACCATGGGACATGAAATCAGGGGGATGGGATTCTCCACTCCATCATCTCCTCAGGCCAGTCCCACCAGGCGCTCAGAGACTTCCCAGAGTCGGCGGCCCTTCTCTCCGTCGGCCACTTCGCCCGACACCTGGAGGGTAGATGAGGAAGACCACTCCAATGAAATGCACTGAACACATGTCATGCACCTTCATTTGCCGCTTGCGGATGCCATTCACACACAATGCTCGACATGCAACAAGCCATCGACTTCTGGTTAGTCAGTACAGCAACCAGATCGCAATCCACCGCCAAAAGGCAGCTTCCTGAAACCCACCTCATTCTCAAATGCCCCAGTGTCGTTATTCCAGCTCCAGTACACGCCAGACTTGCCCAGTGCAGGATCGCTGATGACCTGCGAGGTCATGAACGGAACAGAGTCAGGCTGTCTGATTGGGCAACTCACTGCGATAATCATCCCATATCCACCGAGAAGGTGCAGCGGACTATGCCGGTCCTGATTGCGCCTGATCATTGTTGGGGCTTTCAAGAACATGTGAAATCCGTCATAATTTCGATGGATGGCCCCCCCAAAAAACTGGGTGGCCCTTCCTACTCCCACTCAACAAATGCCCAATCTGAGCAAGAAGGCGCACCTGTGCCAATCGCTTGCCGGCCTCCTCCTCGCTCACATACCCCTTGGTGATGTACTTTTGGAAGAGGGGAAACAGGGTCTTGAACAGGCCGTAGTGGGACCGGAACAAGCCTGATGAAGCGATGCACCTGCAGAGGGTGGGAGTCATGAGTATGAGTGAGAGATGGAAAACAAGGGCCCTGTCACCAAGAGCATGGCGCAGGTGGATGCTACCCTAGTACATGCATTCACTGCTGTGGGCAGCTTGACAAAAGGGGTGTTCTTGTGCAGGCAGGCCATCCTTCTGGAGGTCTCACATCCCAGCCGTATCTCTGCAGGGCCCAGCGGCACCTGTCATAACCCTGTCTCCACCCTGGCCTCCTCACCCGGGGTACAGGGACGAGAAGGTGATCCCCGTGGAGTCGTGGTAGCGGCGGTGCAGCTCCCGCACCGTCAGCATGTTGCAGAGCTTGGAGTCCTTGTAGGCCTTGGCCCCGTCGAACTCGCCGCCGTCGATCATGGGCGAGGCCTGGCCCACCTTGACCCCGGCCTCCAGCCCGCTGAGGTCTCCCAGGTCCGCCTTGGGGGGGACGTTCCCTGCCAGGGTGTTGGTGTTGCCGGTGATGGACCCGACGATGACGAGGCGGGGGGCGGGGAGGGGCGACTTCTTGGGCGCGGCCTTCAGGTCCTCCAGCAGCAGGTTGACCAGGAGGAAGTGCGCGAGGTGGTTGGTGCCCACAGACAGCTCGAAGCCGTCCGCGGTGGGAGTGGGCTCCTTGGCGGTGGGCAGGTAGACGGCCGCGTTGGCCACCAGCGCGTCCAGTCGCCGGCCCGAAGCGCGGAAGCTCTCCACGAAGTCGCGCACGGAGTCGAGGGAGGCCAGGTCCAGGTGCAGGATGGAGTAGGAGTCCCTTGGGATGCCCAGCTCACGGGCCATGCGGGCAGCCTGGGCGGGCATGAAGGGAGGGAGAGGGATTCAGGTGGGTTTTCAACGACACATGTGCGAGAATAGGAGCAGCGAAGGGCGTCTTCAACATGGTGCAAGCTGCCAAAAACATAGTCCAAAGCACAAGGAAAGAATCAATGATGCCATAGAAGTGGGACCAATAGTAAGCTCCTCTGTGTGCCGCCTCGCCCAGAGCATCTGGAGTCAGTCAGTCTCCCCTCGCAACCCTCCCATGGAATCACCCCTATGCAATCACCCCCATGACACCTTGTGCCACGACAGAGGGACGTGTTCTCATCACACCCACCTTGCTGTAGTCCCGCACCGCCATGACCACGTGCCAGTCTCCTGTGGCAGCGAGTGCCTTGGCAGCATTCAGGCCCAGGCCGGAGGACGCCCCCGTGATGATGGCTGTGGGTTTCTGGGTCTCCTTGGAGCCCAACTTCGCACTGCCCGAGCTGGTGCCACGGGTGGCGGGTGGTGAGGCCACGGCCTGGGAGCGCACCGCCAGGCGAGTGTGCCGTGGCTGCCCGGGCTGGCGCTGAGCCGCGGATCGGGAACTGGCGTGGATCGCAGAGATCGAGGACCCGCTGCTGACGACGGGCACCATCGCAATCGACGCCCTCCGACCCGCACCACACACGGATCCAGCAAGATTCATCTGCGGCGGATAAAGAGAGCGTGAGGTGTGTCTTCCTGATCAATCGGGGGGGGAATGGAGTGGGGCAAATAAACCACGCTCCCGTGACTCCATGCAGGACGCACCGCGGATGTCGGCATTGTCCTCCGGGCTTGGCGCTCTTGCTTCAGTAATCGCACTCAATTTGTTCTTATATGTAGTGGGCATTCGCATCCCCGCTCGTAGGCAAATTCGTGCGTCCCTGAATCTGCACCCCGGAGATCCGACAGGGTGAGTCGGGAAGAAAGAGGAGCACGCTGGATATGTCTCCAGCGCCCAGGAATTCCCGGGGACGAAGGTGTGGCTCCCCATCCCAAATGTTCCTCCCGACGAGCACCCACATTTGAATTCCCACGCGCGTCGCGACCGCGGTGACCCAGAGCCCACACCGGCACTAATCCAGCAAGCAGTGGCAGCCCAAATCGGCATCCAGCATCGAGTGTGGTGTTCCATCGTGCTGCGGGCTCGACCCATGGAGCACCCTGCGTGACCCCGACGGCGTGGAACCGGGCCCTGGAGCCATCGATCTGAACCAAGAGCTCCCAAGGCGTGGCAATCGGGTGTCGTCGGGCTAGCCTGCGCCTGGAGCACCCACCAGCAGCGGGGGGCGCTATGGCTCGCATCCCCGAGGCCGACCCCCTTCGCACGCCGGAGCAGCCTCGACGGGCGAAACCCATTACCATGGAGGTACTAGATATGGTGTATGCAATGCCATGGTGCAAGGCGCAGGCTCGTGACGCAGCCTGGCTCATGGTCGGGTGCGAGCTTCCCCCGCCTCCCGCCCATCCCATCCGACCTCCCTCCATGCGCAGGCGGAGCCCTCCCCGTACACGCATTTCGTGTGCCAGCTGCCTGCCATTTCTCCGCCTCGCAGCAATCACAGCGATGGTTTCGGAGCCTTTCAACCTCTGAGCAGCCCGGGCCCAGCAGGCTTCGGCTTCGGCAGAGGGCCCTCCAGGTGGGTGGGTGGGGGGCAGGGGGGGGCCAGGTGAGGCACCGGGTTGTGCAAAGCACTGAGCCTCCTGCTGGACAGGGAGAAGACACCGCGCACACTGCCTTCGGCCGGCCTCCTTGCAATGTTGTTGCGTCACTCCCAGCCTCGTGCTGTGCCTTGCGCAGCCATTGCGACGACTCTCTGAGCTGTGCGGGCGAGAGCACGACTCGAATAGGTAGGCGCGGGGTCTAGGGCTGGACTCAAGACTGCTACCGTGTCGAGAGATGGATGCCCTATTCCAGCTAGGGGCAGCTTCATTGGCAAGGTGCCAGGATGAAGGAATGATTCCCCACCCTGTCTCGCTGCCCCTGCACACATTCCCAGACCTGTACGGTACTGGGATGACCCCCGCAAAGAGTGCACCCGGGGACAAGTCATCCTGGCTGGCATCGCACCACTCCCTCTACCAGGTGCGAATGCGGTCTAGGAGGGCATTCCTGGATGCCTGCCCCCCCGCCCAATCCTCGCCTGCCCAACCTCTCGAGCGCAAAGAGCTCCCCCTCATGTGCAGGGTGGGGGTGTTGAGATGAGCACGACACCGAGCTCTGGGCTTGCCTGCTCGTTCACAGGCACCCGCTATGCCACCCCCACGGCCCCCTTGCGCGACATCTCCAAGAGCTCGCCCCCCCAAAACCCCCCCGCGCAGTCCCCCCGACCCCAGTTGTTCCTCGAGTCTCCGAGCAAGCATGCCTCCCCAGGCCCGCACCGCCAGCGCACCTCCCCGAGCCGCCGCCCGGCGCCCCCGCTGGCCTCCCGCCACGGCGACAGCTCGGCCCCCGCAGGCCCGCGGCTGGCCAGCCCGCCCCCGCGCCGCTCCTTCTTCGCGGCGCTCTTCGACAACGCGTCGCGCGCGTCCCCCCTGCGCCGCGAGAGCACCGCCAGCACCGGCGCGCCCACGCTCTTCGGAGCCACCCCGCCGGCCGCGCGGCGCGAGCTCTCCTTTGCCGGCATGCAGCGGCCGGGGGGCAATGGCGCGGCAGCCGCCCCCGGATCGCACGAGCCGCGCGAGGGCGGCCTCCGCGCCGCGCCCGGCGGCCCACCGTCCCCCGCCCGCCAGGACGCCTCGCTGCCCAGCCAGGCCAGCGTCAAGCGGGAGGGCGGGGGGGGGGAGGACGAGGAGGGGGACGGGCACCGCACGCCGCGGCACCCGGCGGCCGCGCCGCCCGCGCGGCCCATCTCCCCCGGCCTCGAGCGGCTGATGCCCGGCCCGGAGCCGGGGTCGCGGTCGGCCAGCGACGTGGAGGGCGCGGGCCCTGGCCCCGAGGCGACGCCGGCCTTCACGCCGCGCCGCGCGGCGCCCGCCTTCCCCCCGCCGCGTGCCGCCTCCAGCGACGAGGATGAGCGCGAGGAGGCCGCGGCGCTGGTGCACATGGCGCTGCCGCAGTCGCCGGCCTGCGTGTCGCTGGCGCGTGGAGGGCGCGGCACCGCCGGCCCGGCCCTGCTGCCCATCACGCAGCTGCGGCGGGAGGGCAGCGGCGCGGAGGCCGCGGCCGTGGCCAGCCTCTCGCGCCACCTCTCCGCCCCCGCGCCGCCCACCGAGCGCCAGAGCCGGTTGCTGGACAGCCCCGCGGTTCGCGCCGCCTCCCAGGCCGCCATCCTGGAGGCCATGGGGGGCGCGCGGGGGGCGGGCGCCGGCCGTCGCCGCGGCGACGAGGGCGAGGGCATGCCCCTGGGCGCCTCCGCGCCCCTGCCCTGCCTGCGCTCGGCGGGCAGGGCACAGCGCGCGGCCGCGGCCGGCGTGTCGGCCGTGTCGCGGGCGGCGGCGCGGGCGGCCGGCATCGCCGCCGCCCCCCGGCGCGTGCAGGCTGCATCAGGTGTGAGGGGCTGGGAGGGAGTGGGGGTGGTTTGATGAGAGGGGATGGATCCCACACGCCCACGAGGCCCACCTCGACGCCAAGCCCTCCGCGAGGATGTGTTCCCAGGGCCTCTCGCCTGTGCATTCGCCGAGGGGGAAGGGTGGCACAGTCGCAGGCCTAGGTCGGCGCAGCGTGCCGCGTGCCTGATGCACCCTCCGCCCATCTACACCCCGCAGCAGGCCGGTCCCAAGGGGACCGATGCTCGCCAGACGGCACCGCGGACGGAGCCTCGGAGGGTATGGGCGAGGCGCTGTCCTCGCTCTTCCCCTTCCCAACAGGGTAGGTTGTTGGTGCTGGGCCGTGGTCTTCTGACGCCCTCGGCGCGGTTTTCAGCGGCCCGCCTTGCCGTATCCAGATGCACGTGCACCCCTCTTCCACATGAGCCCTGCTTTCCCACACGTCCTGCCTTGCAGCGCGCGGAAGTGCAACTGCAAAAAGTCCAAGTGCCTCAAGCTCTACTGCGACTGCTTCGCGGGCAACGGCTTCTGCGGACCCGCCTGCACCTGCGTCAGCTGCGCCAACCGGGAAGACAATCGGTGGGTGCTGTGAACAGGCACTTGGGGAGGTGCCACCCACCCAGGAAGCTCTTTGGCACGGGCTGTCGTGTGCTCCCTTCTCGGTACCCCCTCTGGCGCGCGCGGGGATCGTTGCAACGAGTGTGTTCGAACATGTCGCGCTGGGGACTGCAAGTTCGGCTGCCTGCTTTCGGCCCTACTTTACCAAAGTCTACCCTCTTTCTCCGGCGCAGGGGTGCTGTGCAGCAGCAGCGCGAGGCCATCCTGATCCGGAACCCGAACGCCTTTGATCAAAAGGTGGGCGTGGAGATGTGCACCTGCTCGGGTGAAGGCAGACCCTCGCAGCCATGCTTGGTTAACGGGG